GAGCTGAGGACCTAATGGAATGAATTTGCCACTCAACTTCCCTCTTCCGTAAAATAAATTGCTTTCATGGGAAGAATGCTCCACAATTCATGATGGTGATCATAGGAAAAATGGGGATGCGGATAAAAAAATGTATTGTGATCTTGTGAATAATAGGAATTGTGGGTAATGTGACTGCACATAAGAGGGACTTCTTTGGTCTCACAGGTTCGCTTGCTGAGGTTATTCTACAAATGTCTGTGCATGTTGGTCGTTTAATATTGCATACACGTTTAGGACCTTTATCATTAACATAAGTACAAACTCGAAAATTATCTGCTGTACAACAATGCAACATGTTATGTTTGCTAAATTCCCATGCAGGTTGGTAGGGTAGGCTTTAATTGCGATAACAGACAGTGTTTTACAATGAATGCAGTAGTAAACATTTAAACTCTAATATTAACATACACACATCATGCACCCCTTTAGTACGCAATGTCCATGTTCTTGTGCAATTAAAAATAATGGTTCATACCACCTAAAAAACACTACATTTCATGCACGCAATTGTCCTCTGCTTATTGCAATTAAAAATCTCAAATACATGTGCGTGTTGTGTTCTTGCATCAGTAGGTGCGAATATGCCTGCACATTCGCTTATTTATTATTACGCATTTAATTGTCATTTTACGTAACATTTAAAACGTTAATCACTCTTTAGAATAGCTAACGTTTATTAAATGTCACTTGCTGGAATAATGCATTGTTTTTTATTGATATATTCTAATGTTTTAAGCAGAGTAACGTTGAAAGAAAATTTTTAAAAAATGTTACGTAGTTTGAGCAAGCTCCAGTTAAACAAACACACATTTTACCCACCGTATACATTACAGAATTGTCACACGAGGAACCGATTATAATAGTTGAATAATATAGTGCGAGAGTGCCACTCAAAATTCCATTTGGTAATTTTTCAAGGTCACACATCATGGTTTTATTTATTTGCCTGTTAACCGAAGCTCCGTGAGTTGTGAGATAATCCCTCAATGTTTAAAACCATGGCCCCTGGGTGCACGAAAAAAAACGGCTGGGCATCGATTATCAGCTCACATTAAAATCCTAACAAACAAACCAAGTTCACGAACCGAAATAATCCAATTGATCTCTGATCCCCATCGTTTCTGCATCGCTCTGCTCTTAGCTCGCTACATTCTTATGTGTTTTTCTTTCTATCGTTTCACTACACGCATTAACCGTCTCTGTCCCTCCTGCCATATTACTTGCATATTACGACTGGAAATGATTCCCAAATCCTCCTCGTAAATAATGTTTGCTTGGGGTCGCTAATTGGGCCAGTATCGCCACTATCTGCTGCAAGTGCTTTAAGGTGCCCATTGCGTTGTTATTCTACATTTGAACACACGGTTCGCCGTCTGGCGTGCATACTGGGCGTAAAGGTAACTGAGTCCCGGGCCAAGCAGAGCTGCATCACACTTCTCTTGAGTCCAATCGCCCAGCACACTTTCACCAATGTAACACACTCGGATGCACACGCTATCACAATTACAAAAGCGCACACTAGCGCACAGGCTATTATTATACGAAGGCGATCCATGGGCTGTCAACCGCATACACTCGGAGTAGCTAACGAACGCCCCCAATGGATGGCCACGAGATTCTTCTGTAACACCTCGAACATGCAACAGCAACGCCACGAACATGCAACAGCAACGCCTTTGCAACCATCAGGGCCAACAGGGCCGACATTGCAAGGGGTTGCTGGAGCAAATCAGCTGTGCCCGGAGCCTGTTCCCGAATCTTCCAACGCTCTCCCACTTCGATCCACCAAATCCGTGCACCTGAGTGTACCTCGGACAAATGGTGCTTCAATGGGTGATGGAAGCGTTAAAGACGTCAGGTGCCTCGGTTGTTGATCGAACCTTTTAGGGCTCGTCTAAAGACGCATTCATTTCCTCCCGTGTAAAGTTGTTTGCCTCTTAGTTTGAACGTACGTTTTTTGTTTGTTTGTTTGTTTTACTTGCAATCTGGTGTAGAGTGCTGTGAGGCCTCGTGTGAATAGCGCGACGCAAAAAACGAGTTTGAAACCGAGTTTTTACGAACTTAGCTCTGCAGGCGGAGCGGTGGCATCCTGGACACGCAGACGGACGCCTCGCTCGCCTCGACCACGCACATCAGTGGGCACAGACATCGGTCCCCTGGCACCCGGAGGTGCATTCTAAATTGCCCATTGATGGCGGCTTCGCCACTGCACCAAAGGTCCAAAACGTCGAGCGGCCAGCAACACGCATCGTTGTCGTGCTGTATCATTGTCATGCTGTATTGTTGCCATGTGAAATCATTGTCATGCTGTATCGTTGCCATGCTGTATCGGATGAGGATTTCAGGACACTTCTTGGATTTTGCAGTGCTTTGGTGCTCTGCGCTATGAATCGAGTAATCTCGAATTTTGAAGCTCAAATGAAAGTCAGATTGATATTTTATTTTGGCCGTGAAGGATTCCAACAATTACGTTACCACATCACAATGTATTTGCATTTGAAAAGCAAAGTGATGGTTACAACGTGGTTTTTCCTTTTTGGGAATATGCTCTTCTCCTGGGAAATTAAACATTTCAAGAAGGATTCCAATGTATCTGCACCGCAGAATACAATGCGTTGCTTTTGGGAATTCAGACCACTCCAACATCACTCTGGCCTTTGACGCGTATCCACGGTGCCTCTGAAACATAATCCATCGTATGTGCTAGAAACACACGTTTGTGTTTATTAATGTCTTCCACGTGTACAGTCTCATTCACGTGGCTAAAATGTAACCAAAACGAGACGTGGACGACGTGACACTAGAATGTACCACGTGTACATGATTCTGCAGTTTACGTTTGAACGGTGTTCATATATGGTGGTGTACTAAGCAAAAAATATAAATATATTTTGAGCGCTTGGAACTCTATCCAGTCACGACATGGTTTTGTAAAGAACACGTGATTTTTTTCCTTTCGTCATTCCACCGATGACATGATCAAAGAAAATAGTTGATCGGCATTCATTACTTAAAATAAAACTTTGATGATGAATGATCAATGGATATGCTTCAACGTAAACATCGCTTTAGCTGCTAATTATACAACAGGAGGACATTTGTGCAGGATGTTTTTTTTTAAAAGCGTGTACGCCTGTTCTAGATGTACAGTAGATTAGATGGAAAGTCACTTGATGGTAATGAGATTATACAACGTTGCAGGCGATATTATGAGTGCAAAGTTAAAGTAGAATGTGTGTGTGTTTGCAGGTCGTGGGGAGCGGTAGTGTAGTGGTTAGCGTGCTGCGCTGTGAACCCGACCACCCGGGTTTGATTCCCACTCACGGCCAACACCTGTGACGATTATCTGAACCGGTCCGGGGCCTCCTCTAGGTGGTCTCAGCCTGAAATGAGTACCTGGTGCGGTGTGTAAACATCGCCACTGGGGAGACAAAGGCGGTCAGACGTGGTGCTGGCCACCCACCCCATCGTGTACCGTTTTGGCCTTCATAGGTGCTCGCTAACAGCACTTGCCCCTACAGTGTGTTAAGGCTATACGGGGGATCTTTGTCTTTGTTTGCAGGTAGCTTTTATTGGCCTTGCTGAAGTGAGCACTTGATGTAGGTACAATTCCAACACTATATTATCGTTATAATTCAGAGGTGGAATATATATATATATACACATGTAATCAAGCAGCCAGCAACACATAGCACGATTGAAGGTGTAATAGATTGTGTGTTGTGAATCGAGCAAAGTTTATTATTGGAACTTGGGAAAATAAACTGTGGGAGGGAATTCCGAAGTTGAGCATTGCGAGCAAAGAAGTAGAACGAAAAGTGGGGTAGACCTGCAGTGGTACCCCGGTACGGAGGGGATGAAGTGGTCTGCCTCGTAGAGTCCTCAACATGGGTGGAAGAATAGTGATTGAAGTTCAATTGCGGTGGAGAGATGTTAACTCCTTCGCCTGGTATGGAGGAGGTCGTCGGTTTGATTCCCGACCCTGACGCCTGCTGCTGTATATTTTGAGTTTGCATGCTCTCTCTATCCCTGTGGTCGCGTGGAATTTTTCTCCGGGTCCTCTGGTTTTTCCCTTCCACATTTAGAAGAAACGTGTTCGTTTAGAGTATTTGGCTGCTATACATTTCTGCATGATCAGCCACTTCGTTTTTGCTATCATGTGTCGCCAGGTCGTTTCTGAAAAATAACTATATATCTCAGTGTGCCTTACATGGTAAAATAAAAAAATATAGTTTTAGTACAGTTTCATCGTTTTAATAACCATGGTGGTAGTGAAAAAGAGTGCTATGAAGGTAACTGATCACTGTGGAACGAGTGGCCGGAGTGAAGCAGTGAGTGCTGTGATCGGATTTGTTTGGGGAATAAATAAATAAACATACAAGCTGACATTTGCAATTTTTGCATAAATATTTCTCACGAGAGAGGGTTATTTTAGTTGGCCTGAAGTGTGTGTGTGTGTATGTGTGTGGGCTTCCCGCACACACAATAATACTTAGCGACTGTGCTTAAAAAACTAAAAAGACTAATGCAAACCCATAGAAGAATTCCTCAACCAACCTCTTGCATGCAAGCTGGCCTGCATGAAGACCAACCTGGTTTGTTTTAGACCGGGTGATGTGGAAAGCTCACCAATACAAGTACAGGACTGGAAATATCTGGGCACGGGTCCCACATAAATTAGGCCACCTTAGTAGGACTTCCCAGCAACAGAGGTTGCATTGGCTTGTCAAAGCAGCTTCTGTTTAGCTCGATTGGACTCAAGTAAGTGGGGTGACGCGATACAGAGGAAGGCTTCAAGCTAAGTAGATCTGGGCAGTTGGCATGAGGCACTCTACGGCAAGATCTAAAAATATAAATGTGATGCTCACAAGGTACGGAAGGCGATCCGGAGTCCAAAATTATTAAGCCATAACGCAGTTATAAAGACGCAACGCTTAAAAAACCAAGCCACTTCATAATAAAGCAAAACCTTTAATAAATTAGCACCACTGGGTACATTTCAGTATAATTGAGGTAACTTTCCGTCCTCCAACTTATTTGCTCACACGGCTTGCAAACGTGAAATAATCAAGTATATGCTGCATTTTACGAGCGAACAATGCGATATACCAAGCGCGATAATGGTGAGTAATGCGTATTATTAGAAAGCGTGTTGAATATACAAGACTGAAAATTACTGTGCGCTTCACAGAATGTTATTAAAATACTTTTATATCATATTAGTTGACAGCAGGTTTTGTCATGAGTCATTCAGATGTATTTTGCGAACTGTCTCTATAACAATAGGATGCTTATGGAATATATCGTATGAATATAAACCATACAATAAAAAAAATGTTACATTGCAAAAAAAACTATTTAAAATCTGACAATAGTTTGATATCTGAGAGTCAATGGTGATTGGGGTTTTGAAATGCCAGAAACATGTTATTTCATTTGGTTTTCAAAGGACAGATTTACAATTACTTGTACAGTTGAAATGAATTATTAATTGATGCAGATAGGTGAGAGAGAAATATCATTTAAGATGCATTTTTATAAATCCCTGCTCACTGTTTGAGGGTGAGGATAATAGTCTGTGATGGGTGGGATTACGAGTCATTTTTCCTCAAACAGAAATGGTGTTTTTTATTTATCTATTTTTCAACAGGTGGCTAACTATACCCATATGAACAAACGAATGATATGGCAGAAGATTGCCCTCTTCCAAAACCAATTTCTGACATATATTTCCATGAAAAGGAACTAAATAAGGTTAAATTAAATATAATCGTGCTATATCTCACCACATGATAGTGCATTAGAATGTTTTGTGCCTCGTATTGATAATAGACATGTTTAATTTTGCCATGAGAAACCCAAAGTTCCTGCATTACTGTCCTCGAACATGTAACGGATGAATAAAAACCCTCTATTAGTTGATGCTTTGATGTAAATACGTAAGATGATGAACATTATCCACACAGACACTGGCTGTGAAAGCACATAATCAATTGGCAATCAATAAATTAACCCGTGCTGTTATATTTAAACGTTATGTTTGAATACAAAGAAGGTTCTTGCCAAGGAAACTGCACCAAATAATGTATAACCAAAACTCAACACATCCATCAACAACGTTTCTCTCATTTCTAAATATATATGATAGGCAATGTTTCTAGCAATGGTCCTTCTTCATTGCACAAAGGCCGTTCTTGGGCCATTTCACGATCCTATTATTACATTTTCCATAAAAGACAATGTCATTGATAAATGTGTTAAGCTTTTAACAACTGTGCATGTGCACCACTGACAATTTAATGACAAAGAAGTCAACTAATGATTTCGTGGCCCCTGGCCAAACTGAACTTTGTAAGCCACCTTTGTAAAACTCAAAAACCTGATCGCGAAAACATTTTTTTCTGAAAGCCTTTCTGCATCTACGTGAATAAGGCAAGCGGCAAAACTATGTAACTAAGAATTAGAATGTTTGAGCACATGGGGGTGGTTTTGGTTACACTTTTAGCTTCCAAAATATTGGTGACATGTTTTCTATAGTTTATTAGTTGCATACGATTTGGTGATCTGTGCATACACATTCATTGACAGGATTGGAATGGTCTCAGGCCCTTTTAAAGGAATTCACGTAAACGGGTGTGCCTATCTGTGGATTCAAGTGTATATTACAATATAAAATATAGTAAGCAAGACTTCCCCATATTTATAAACAACTGAGCAAGCATAGATCCTTAATTACGTCATGGAACGGAAAACTGAGAGTAAACATGGGAATGGAACATTATACATGTGGCATCGTAAAATAGCCACTTTCATCAGCAAGCATAGACAGTCTTCAGAAATGGCATACATTTTGCTAAATAACCTTTAAAATATGCTATACAAACACAGAAATAAATGATTATTTGTAAAAACAAAACATCTTAACATGTTGTTTATGTCAGTAAATATGGGTCAACAATTACCACTGAAATTAGTTGAATACGTAGGCTTTCGCGACCAATATTAAGATTGATCATTGATTTTTGGGGTAAGGTCGCATAAGTAAAACGTATGTGGACACCCTGCCGCACCCCGACGTGCTGAAGCAATAAATGACACAATTGCTCACGTGACAACTCAACAATTAGCTGTGTCAGGTGGTGGAGGGTGTACAACACACAATTTACTCATGCCATCTGACGAAAAAAAAATCTACTACGATCAAGGAAATTGCTACAGATTTCCATATCATATTGTTTAAATAGCAAATCCCTGAAAAAGGAAAAGTGTGAAACATTTAAAATGTTTCATGGACTAAAAAAAAGCACCATTTCATCATTGCCACCACTTCCAAACCCTTCCGAGCAAAATAATAAAAACAATTATATTTATTGTTAATTGTTCTCGATGACATCATAGGAAGGATCGATGGTGATAGAGCTTCATAAATTGAAAGCAATAAAGGAAATAGACAAAACAAACAAGTCCACAAGTTCGTAACAAGAAGGATTGCAACGATCCACAATCCGTCGTGAAATCTCGGCCACTTTCACCCCGCAGCCTCTCACCACCAATATGATTCGCACTTAAGTTTTGGGTCAGACCGCATAGGTGAAATGTGTGTCGTATACCCTACTCCACCCGACACAGACAGCAAATTAACAATTGTTACATCTTGATTTAAAGCTTTCGTGACTGGAGGTATTCATATTCTTGGTTCTTTCGGTAAAGTCACGTGACTTTACCGAAATAACCAAGAAAAATTGTTACATTGTTAAATGTACGTCGATTGCTGTCCAACGCACTGTTTTTTTTCTTCTAAGTTAGCACGTTTGTTCATCACGTGACAACGTTATTCATTGTCAGTGTCGAGTGGGAGAAGGAGTTCGACACGCATTTACCTTAAGCGATCTTACACAAAAAAGATTTTCCATCATGGTCAATGTTAACGATTTAATCCACAAATGTATATATTTGTTTTGTCCTTATAGTGTGTGGAGAATATACATCACAGTGTAATTAGCGTACAAAAGCGACGTCGCTATAAACATTGGACATTATCATTGTTTACAGATACACTTAGCGAGTGTAAGAATGCGTTATGATCGATGACTGCGTGAAGCGTTATATCCTTAATGTTGAAGGTTATCCAGGGATCACACTGCAATTGCACTTGGACAAGATGCATACTGGATAGCACCTGCGTTTCTCACGCTTGCGTCTTGATGTCTCGTTGTAAAATTACGTTTGACTTTTCACACCCGTAATCCAGATACAAAAGTAAAAAAAACGATGTATTCAAGTGCGCAATGAAAGGCGATTATCGATTATGTAGAGTTGAATTTGCGGGCATTACTACACAGACGTTACATATGCAGTTTAATACAGAAACGAAGTCCCGTTTCAAGACATCAAATAAATGTAGTTTTACGCGTTTTTTTAAAGAACTGCTGGAAAACATCGCATCAAAAGGTCAATTGGGTTATGGATCCAAATGTTGTTATCTTTCCATGTCGTGTACCAAGGACGAGTTAGAAGCTATGTATTCTGTGAATGTTAACGATAAGCATGCGTGTTGTGTGGTATGCATGTATGCACATAACTTTCATGCATTCATTTGGTAATTGTTATTTGCTTTATTTCTGCGATGCATTCATGGTTTCTTACATATCCAATGACATTTAGATCTCGCTGTTTTACACTTGATGCATGAGCAATATCAAATGGTCTGAATTGTATGTATTTAGGCACCTGTTTGAAAAATCTTGGAAGATATATTCAAAATTGAATCATGACTCATGAACTTGAGCCAGATTCATGATGTTCAGCCTGATGTTAAAAAACAACGGTGTCTGTTTGTCTAAACACTGTGCAACTACTTCTACTTCAACAATCGCGTGACAGTGGAATAATTCGGCATGCAAATGTAAGTGTATGTTGAACTTCTTTCGCTCCGTACATAGCCAACCATGCTAATGTGGCAGTCGCAATGGAAAAACAAAACGTGTTGAAAGCACCGCATTGACAAAGCCAATTAACCTCGGAGAACCACGAAAATGTTACCAGTGCCAACAGTTTTAATTGTCCAACAATGGACTACACATTTTCTCACAACAAACCGTGGTATGTACACTGATGAAGCTCAAATGACATGCATCACCACCGTGTGTCAATTGAGGGCAATGTACAACGAAAATACAAAAAAAAAACGTGGAAAAAACTGCGTGCACATCGAAAACGGCACATTCATGTGTAGCTGTATGCCGATAGCGGTCTTCTACAGAAGCAATGTCAATATACAGTTTTGTAGGCTTCAGAATGCACTCTCACAGGATGTTGCGGATGTGTGGGTGAATGTGAGTGACCCATTTACCACACAATGGGGGTTGGCAATTTGTGAGAATTTTATGGGAAATGTTCGCGGAAATAGTTTGAAATTTCTTCCGCCTCTAAGGATACCACAGTGCCATTATTTTGTGTGCGTTGTGTCGTTTGTCCCATTTGCTGAACGCCATTGCTTCTAAGCTTTTGTTGAACTCTTTCGTACATTATTGAACATTCCCCATTTGGGCAATTACGTAGCAATTTGAAAAATCTGTCAAGTTACGAGAGCTGGAAGTCTAAATTGACTCTTTTTACAAAACATAGGGACTCTTAAACATTGTAATGATTTGCAGTGAATACTATTTAGGATTTATACAAAGCATGTAACAAAATAACAAAGGAACACTACCATTGTAATCAGACATTTGGCCTCATACTAAACCACGCACAGTTAAACACTGCCTACTCGTTATGGCACACAGTACAACACTTGGTAATAATTGATGCTAAATACCGTACGAAGTTTTGCTAACTAGCAGAAACTTAACGTATCGTCAATTCCGACTTCCTACATTTGCATTCTGTCTTGCAGAATTTTCAGAAGTCGCTTGATGTGGTTTCAAAGCGAAACGTCGCGCTAATTATCAATCTTGGTTGCCAAAATTGATCTTCAACTTATCGCTGAGCTGAAACAATGGAAATTGGCGTGTACATGTCATGTATGCCTGCACGGCAATTCAAATTCTTTGGCTGCCTTGGTGGAAGGGTCTTTCAGCTGCAAACATTTTACAGCGATAATTACAAAAATGAGCGATGGATTTTAGAAACTCACAGATTCTCTTTACTCGGGTTTTAAAATGAGAATGTTTTTTTCTAAGGCAATTAATTGGTATATTTTGAATTACAAAAGTTTGACTCTTTTGTTGGGGATTGTGTGTCGGTGTTATATCTTGGTTCCAAAAAAAATCAACCTTATTTTCACGTAGCTAGAATAGCAATAAAAATTACATAAATTCCATAATTTATTGATGAGCAGGGCTGGATATCGCAAAACAATTTCATATTGTTCCTCAAAATCAACTGCACGATGTTAAAAGTGGGGTTTATTCCAATGTTAACAAATTACTTTACAAATTCCAGATTGATCCTTCCATTTTATTTGAACTTCTTCAGTGCACAATTAAAAAAATCGCACACGATTTTAATACAGACTTTTTTCCATGATACTTTAACGTTAATGATAACACAGAATATGCATTCCATTGCACAATTGGGTGGCATATGGGCGGAAATAAATGCTATTAAGAAAACGGCATGTTTAAAAGGTTAATTCGTGAAGCAAAACCCGTAAGCTGTGTGTGTCTATTTTTCTACGCTGCATTAAGAGAATTAAAATAAATTGCGATATTGATAACTCGTATCATACCCACCATTAGATATAAAAGTGTAAAAAAATACATATGTTACCCTTGTGACTGATGATAATCTATAAACAAAAAACGTTTACTTGTTCATTTAACTGTTTGCTTAACACATTGTCAGTTAGGACATTCAACGAACTCACTTTTGAATGCAACAATAAACTAAAACGATGCATATATTATCATTATTATTATTATTTCTCCTTGAGAAACAAGAAACATGTTGAAACAATAATTAGGATCAGTATTAACGTTTGGGTATTAAAGACTCGGCATTAGAAAGATTTAAGCCATGGTGACGTATTGGCCAAAAGTATTGAATACTGAACACAGAAAACAAGCATGACTTTGTGTTATATCTCCGTGTGTGTTGCTGCTGTACGGAAATATCCTCTAGGTAAGGCTACAAACAGAATGGCTTTCCTCCATGCAATTCACACACGCATCCGTCAGTGACATAAGTGGACATAAACAACAACAACAAGGAACGTGATCATTTCCAGTAACATTTCACTTCAAGTGTTATACAACAGAGGCCAGCAAACAGCATGGTATCAGTACAACTAAAAATTCACTGCAGTAAGTCTACAATAGGCCACTTTTGTTGTCTCTCAGATGTGCCACACCGTGATATTTCTTGACATTGCGAGTCATCAATTAGATTTTTTCTATTTTTTTTGAGTGACGGCACAAGTGGTGCCTGTCGTGCCGTCACCGTCCCGGTGAAGGAGTGAGCAGGTTGCTGCATTCATTCAGAGCTGGGTTTGCAGCGGTCCACCTGTAAGGAACGATGCACAAAAACACATACGATTCGTTATTCATATATATCTTTGGTAGCACTTTTCTTGAGGTCACATGTGTGTATGTGGGACTTCTTTCGCACCGTACATAGCCCACCGTGCTCATTGAAGGTGCGGGGTGAAGGACACAATTGTTGCATATCCGACTGTCAAACAACCCTGACCAATTGAATTGCCTTCACCCAGTGTGGTGCATTAGTGGAACTGATTTTATGGAGATGCTCCCAAATCCAACCTTTTCAGTAAGTTATTGTGCAGTAATAGGATTGCTCACCTATTTTTATCCATATTTACATGACATACAACCGACACATGAGTAGGTTGTTTGTATACAAAGATATTCCAATATTTTTACATACACGACAATCAAAACGGAGTTTACTAAAAGTCCTAAGAAGAATGCTCCTTAAAACTAGTATCCACTGCTACGAACAATACGATTGTAATTGTATCCCTGGCCACAGCTAACGTGAGAGTCAAGTGGTCGACTTAGCCTAAATTGAGTATCTGGCAAGATATTTAAATAACTGCACTTGCCAGACAAAGGCATTCATGCGTGTTTCTGGCCACATCACCCTTTCACTCGGCAGGCCGGTCTGAAAAGAGGTGGTTACTAACGCTATCTTCCCCAACATTCTGAATGGCTCTAGATTTGAAGCTTTCGTGACTGCAAGGATTCATATTCGTAGGTTTTTTCGGTAAAGTCACGTAGGTAAAACATTTAATTAATAAAAGTAAAATAAAAATAAAATAAAAATCACGACGTTTCGGAGGCAACACAAGCTTCCACCTGAAGACGGAAGCTTGTGTTGCCTCCGAAACGTCGTGATTTTTATCTTATTTTTATTTTACTTTCATTACTTTTCAATTTTTTACCTACGTGACTTTACCGAAAAAACCTAAGAATATTCTGAATGGCTACACAGGGCACCTTCGTATTTGTGCGCGTGTTTGTCTATGATACCTTCTTGACAAGTAGGTCCCACCCAGCCGTAGAGACAGCTGCAGCTTCCAGAGCGAGGGTTGCACAATGCCTTGTTGGCACATTCACACATCAAGGTGCAACTTGGCCCGTATCGATTCACTCGGCAATCTGCAGACGAACAGAGGCGACACACCGATGTTATCTTTTGTTTGTATTATCCAAAAGCCCCCGATTCACATCCATGTTGTGAACAATACTCATCATTTCATTATAAGTGCAAATGTATTATTGCCCAGAGATGCTGCACGATAAGATTAATAATAATGATGGTAATTGCTTGTTTTTGTAAGAGCACTGCATCTCAAAGCGCTATACACGCAATAAGTGACTTAACCCTTTCCATTTCCGATGACGTACTGATGATGTACGTGTACGTACGTCATCAGTTTTTCTTCAAATTCCGTGCCAACTAAGTAAATGTACGTCATCAAATAACGCAGTCAAAGATAAACTAAGACGAGAACGAAAACAAGAAAATATTACAGCACGACGTCGCATATCCGATAGTCAAATATCCGCCCCGTTCAATCATCTCGCCACACCCAGTGCAACAATTGTGCATGGCGTAAGCATAACATTCTTATATATGTTCACATATATGACCATTTAACATATTCTCAGTCGTCATCAAGTTGGATATGTAATGTTATATTGTAAAATAGAAAAAATATATAATAAGATAAAAAAGAATACCAGACCAGTGGCTGTATTTAGGACGAACTCACCCACGTCACACTTGTCACCGGCTTTGCCCGGAGGACAGAGACATTTTCCCGTGACGTGATCACACTGCGAGCCATCCACACAGTCGCATCTGCTCAGGCACTTGTCTCCAAAAGTGCCAACGGTACACTCTGCACGAACGATGGAGCGGGGGAAAAAAAACACACACTTAAAGAAAACGTCAGAATTCAACAGGACAGTACCAGGCATCAGCGTGGTCGTGCAAATTGGAACAGAGGTCTGGACACAAAGGTGGATATCATGGATTAATGATTCTCACTCACGCACCCCTCCGTTACTTTCCTCCACGATTCAAATAAATAGAATCCCATCTAAACTCAGACATTCTTTACCTGATATGTAACGTGGTTATGCAAGAAATCCTTCAGCTTATAAGGGAATGTTTGGTAAGAATATGTATCTTGAACTTATTTTACACCGTACGTAGCCAACCGTGCCAATCGGAGGTGTGGATATGTAAGGTGTTACGTTTTTTGTACACACACACATATCTATATATATGTTGTGCTGGGCTGCACAAATTTTGCAGCGAGAGTGAGCTCGGGTGCAGTGCTTGCGGCAGTTTAGGCCAGCCGAGAATGAAATAGCACGTTCCAACTTTTGGGAATAGCACCGCATTTGTTGGAGACGTAGATTACAACAAATGTTATCATTACGGAACCGTGAGCCCGGAAACAATATCTAATTTATAGGTTATGAGTGCTTTTTGAGGTAATCTTTGGGTCGTTTTGAAAGAGGCAACGACTAAATGGATAAATACGTCGTGTGTGAATATCCGTAGCACTCCATAAACAGACAATTCTAATCCCCGGTATGAAATTACAGTGCCTCATGACGGTTCATAAGACCCACTCCCAACTTTTGCTTTTAATTAATTGGAGAAGAACATGGGGCATGGTATTCCGGAGGATACAGTGTATGTGTTTAATTTAGGGCACGGTTGGGGAAAAGGGAATGATGTTTATTTTTTTGTGTGCGAACGATGAAATGGCCCTTCACATTGCTCCACGAACCATGGTCACACTTGGAGCCGTGGTACCCTGCTGGGCACACACACTGCCCCGTCACCGGGTGGCACAGGGCGCCGTTTCTGCAGTCACAGGGCCTCATGCAGTTCAGGCCAAAGAATCCAGGTGGGCATTCTGTCGAGACAAACAAGCCCAACATTTGTTTCTGTTTAAAGATAATTCACCACGATACTTGCTGTGTGTCCATTCAATGATAATAGCTGATCTGTTCGCAAAGCCAACACAAGCAGTGTTACTGTCATGGGTCAAGTAATTTTTTTAATGGTAGAAACTTTAGATGCCGACCATTTACAATGAATTATGGCAGGGAAGAACCATAGACGTATATACAACACGTAACTTTGTTCGATGGTTAGCCAAAGGTCGCTGCTGCGAGGATGACTGGAGTTTGGCATGGCGGTTTAGTGGTCTAATCACCACCTGCTTCCTTCTCTATGGGCATAGAGCGTTGCCCCCTCGCACCTGTGTTTTTTTTCTACGGGTACTCCGGTTTCCTCCCACATGTATAACTACTCATCATTAATTGTCCTAAAAAGATATTAAAATAAATCTGTGAATTAAGAAACAACATCGTAAATAAAAACACAATGCAAGACCCTCATGAAAAAAAAAAGTCGTAACGCTCTGCGGCTCTCCTGAATAAATAAATTACGATTAATATATGAATCATTGTTAAGAAAACATGTTTTTATACAGATGAAGTTCTCTGTGTAAAAAAAAAAAAAACTGGGGCATTACAACTTAATTTGATGCACACGCCAAGTCCCCATTTAATTTATTATGTCAGCAGCTCAACCTCTGCCTCAATACGTGGTAAAGAAAATACTTCTTTTGTCTTTTTACGGAAGCTAGGCGATGGGCGAGCTTTGTTTGATTACTATTGTTTTTTTTTGTTGACGGTTGCGAGCGACTGCTAATGGGATATTTATTTTGCATTACAACCACGACGGCGTCGCGTGTTCGTCAGGCGAGCCACCATTGTGGAGAGATGCTCTTGTAAACGCGTAAGTTGATACTCAACATCGTCAATGGCTTCTGCGCAATGGTCTTACTGAGGGGGCTTCTGCTGCCCACAGAGGCGTATAGGCCAGATGTAGCAGGGAAATACGTTACATCGAGAAAATTGACAGTGGGTTGATTTCAGCACATGTTGAATTTGTATTGATAATGTGCATGGTATTGACTCATAAGTATTAGCATAGTAAAGCCCCTCCCGATTTCTGCTCAAAAGCAGATATATTAATTTATTAATAAGATCATTACCCCAAAGCAGGGATAATTAAAAAGTATTCTTGAAGCTCATTGAGGCTTCGTGGATAAAGAACCACAGGCCCAGCTCTGCTGATGAGACCTAAAAAGTCAAAACGGTTCCAGAGTTTGCTCGCCTAGACAAATGCTGCTTGGCAATAACGGTCTGGAAAAGCGGTAGGCTGATTAACTAAAACACAGTTTTATTATTATGTAACTTTCATATCCGGTTGCCGCGTGTGGCTTGAAATGTTAATGTCAAGAGTTAAAATCCCATGCGTCACTTAGGGCTCTCAATAAAAAACGGTGTCACTTTGTGGACGGTCAACAGTGACTGTCCTGTGGACTCCCCCCCTCACCCCCGTCATAAGAATGTGGAATTTCCACCTCTGGCTCAAGGCTGTAAACAAGGGACGAAAACCGCAGTGGCCTACCGTATTCACAAGCGTGTCCGTAGACTCCCTCTGGGCACTTGCAGCAGCCAGTGAAGCGGTCGCAAGTGCCATTGTTCCGACAGGGGCAGCTGACCTGGCAGCCGGCGCCGTATTTACCTTCGGGGCATTCTGTAGCAAAGAAGCACAGGCCTCAGGCGTGGCGAAGATGCGGTGATTGTCTTGGGCATTTCCGTCTGCTCCGACGAAGCGACTCACTCACTCATTGAAGTTAGTTAGTTACTGCTTTTAAGGAAGACAACGGTTGTTGTCCTATGGATGGACTGATTTCTGCAATGGACATGTGCAATTCATACCACCACCATCAATGGAGGTGATTGCCCGTCCAACTTAAATGCTAGGTAGGAGGGATGCAGTTTCCCCTTTGGAAGTAAAAAAAGAACATAAGTAGTTTACACGTTTTTCTTACGAGTAAAGTTATAGAATTATCAACAAGAGCAGCTTTTGTTTGAGAAACTTGACCACTCAATGTGCAGCGTATGCAGATATATGCATGTATATATTTCATACCATGAAAACGGTGCTAATAAGGGAGTTGAAGTTTTGGAATGTTGGCATAAGAATAAACAGCTTGGGAGAAGTGTATGTGTACGTACACACACACACACACACGGACCTTTCTCACAGTGTAGACCAGTCCAGCCCAAACCGCAAGTGCAAGTCCCGTTGGCTGTGTCGCACAGTCCTCCGTTGCGGCATGCACAGCTCTGCTGGCAGCCAGCCCCAAACCTCCCTCTAGGGCACACTGATACAAGAACGCACACATGCACACACGCGTGTGCATACACACGATGACACAAAGTCAAAGATCCCCTGTGTAGCCTCTAACAGGCTGCTGGTGAAAGCGCTGTTAGCCATCACATGTGTAGGCTGGCACGAAGCACGAGGTGGTGGTGTGGCCAGCATCACGCCTGGCCGCCTCAGATGTTTACACACTGCACCAGGGGCTCTTTTATGGTTGAGTCGATCTAGAGGAGGCCCAGGACCGGTTCCGTTATCACTTTTGGCAGGGGATCTAACCTAGGCCGCCGGAGTTTGCAGTTCAGTGTGCTAACCACAACGCTACCACCCCTCCACTGACATGAGATTGAAAACGAATTTCTTTAGAACTGCTTTTGTGTTTAGTTTCTTGTTCTTCCCCCGCACCTCCGATTAGCACGGTTGGCTACGTACGGCGCGAAAAAAATCACAAAGACACACACATAATGTACACACCCGTACATACATCAACACACACAGTGCACACTCTCGAATATGAACACAAACAAACAATTGTGATGATGGCGCTTTGGGTGGAATATTTGTGTGCCAAAAGGCGCCACGTGTTTAAGAAAAAAATTTAATTGACTCGACTCGGCACGTGTATGTGGTCACACACACGTGCAGGCAAACGTAAAGAATGCAGACTTGAATGCACACAAACATCCATACGTGCGTACTGTATATACTAAAAGAGGGTCTATCGCCCTCACGTACACACATATACGCAAATACACATGTGCACGCGCGCACATGAGCACACGAATGCCTGTCACCGACGCAGGATATTAATTTTTGGTGGCTGTTATAATTCACAGTTTGGTGTTTACTCATAGGAAGCCCTGTTTTGCTGTCAAACTGTTTTTGTATAGCGCAATGTTTCAGTTGATGGAGTGAATAGGGTTGGAGGGCCGTTTTGTTAGTAGCTAGTCACGAGCAGTAACGATTTTCAATCATCACGTTTGTCAACAACCGGCGACGTTTTGTGGCGCGTGTGGGCTCATGCCGGTGTCTCTCGGCCACCGTTGCAGAGATACGAACGCTACCCAGTGGAGCACTTTCTACGCAAGCGTTGCCGGGCGTTCTCAACCAGCCGCGTGTATGTACATAGAACTTCTTTCACACCGTACGTAGCCAGCGGTGTTAATCGGAAGTGTGTGGGGGGGGGGGGGGAAGGACCACAAACTAAACACAAAAAATCTGTTTTAAAAAAAATTGTTGATTTGAAAGTGCATCGCTCCAGTGGCTTCCTAATATCGGAAGGAAGAGCGTTCCAGACGGCCGCAGAAGCACATCCGAAAGCGTGCGATGCGGTGACCAAAATCTTTGTCCCCTCAGGCGGGTGACGCGGAAGAGGGCAGGAATCCAACGCAGAATAACCTCCATTAGTCCAACCCAATGCTTTTTTTTTGCCAGGGTGTTCTCTCGCTACGATCACGGGCCAGAGAGAGACGGGATGGGTCGACTTTTGGCAATTTGCTAATGCAAAAAATGTAGAGATACCGACCCATCTCTGAACATCTGGACACCGCGTCGCCGTAAGGCGGCCACATGGCGCGGCGGTTATATAACTTCGCTCGGATTATCTTTTGTCGCAAGAAACTGAATGTTCCACATCTTTTTCAGTTTAGCAGAGGCACTCTGCATTGCATTATTTTATTTATTTAACATGACGATCATCATCATCATCAGCCCATGGTCTAGCCACTACTGGATGAAGGCAGATAATCCTGTGCAGCAGCACTGGCCTGCAAATTGTGGCCTATGTTTATAAGTTCTGTAATATGTGAGTAATGGCCATTTCACCACGATAACACTCTTTTTTTTAATAGCTCCCTGTCCACCAGGGCAACTCAGAACACTTTACACTGTGGATAAGTGGCTTCCATCGCTTTGCATCTAATCTCAAGCATTTTAGAATCAGAAAATGTATTTAGACTGGAAGAATCCGAAGAGCTTTGGAACTCTTCTTTACAAATGTCCAGTAATGGGCAGGTCAGCAAGTTTATACGGGCATCCCAAGTGGCAGCTGTCCCCTGTGTATGACAATGCGACACCAAGTGCCTGACCTGCAAGTGGGTATTGGTCTGCCAGTCTTGGGGGGGGGGGGGGTGGAGGGGATGGGGGGGCGATGATTGCAAAGTAAAACTTCCATGCAGGTTGCTCACCTTGTTGGCACGTGGCCCCTGTGCGCCCAGGCTGGCACTGGCACCGTCCACTCACGGGGTCACACGAGCCCCGCTCCCCACATGAGCAGAGGGATGCACACTCCTTGCCATAGTGGCCTGCAGGACAGGCTGCTCGCCCGGACGCACAAAACAAAGACAAAGTTCCCCTCCGCACCCCAGTATGGCCTTAACAGACTGTTGGGGCAAGGTAAAAGTAATGGGGCAGCCTTGCAATGTATTGCTCATGCCACTGCTGGAACATGGGCCTCGATTAGGGCGCTTCGGTGGAAAGATGTTAACCCCCTCGCCTGGTATACAGGAGGTCGTGGGTTCGATCCCGACCCTGACGCCTGCTGTATATTTTGAGTTTGCATGTCTCTATCTCCCAGTGGTCGCGTGGGATTTCTCTCCAGGTCCTCTGGGATTTCCTTCCATGTTTATAAACATGCGTTTATGGTATTTGGCTGCTATAAATTTCCACGTGATAAGCCACTTTGTTAAGCTATCATTTGTTGCCAGATTGCTTTTGAAAAAGAGCCTCATAGCTCAGGGGGCCTTACCTAGTCAGATAAAAAAAGTAGGAGTAAAGAGTAAATAAGATGGAATCTTGGCCTACTTTCCCCTTGTTGGTTGACGTTCATAGAACAACCTGTAACATATGGGCATTCAATGGGTGAACCCATATTTGATTGTGCGTTCACTTACAGGAACGCTCGTGCGTTCATTAAGCCCCATCAACTCACGGAGTGACTCAGCAGGGGGAGAGCGATCGGCTCCCACGGCTGTGAGTTAACATCCTGGCTGGGGGTTTACGCAGGGCCTCATCACCCTAATGGTCGATAAAATGAGTACCACTTTGCGGAGAAGTCAACCGTGGTTTTCCAATGGATAAACTCAGCGCTTCCGTAGGAATATATGGAATGTCCACCACTGATTAAGGGCTGGCTGTAGACACGACATGTTGTATGCATGTATATACGCTGAACTTCATTCGCACCATACGTAGCCAACCGTGCGAATCTGAGGTCAGCGCCAACTGCTTCAATGCCATTGAGCAAGATATCACATGGACTCTGAATTAAGACTTTACAAAGAATACCTCCCCCCCAATCCCATCATATTTATTGTTGTCGATGTCCCAGCGCGGTCTGGCGAGGCCATGTGGAGGCAGGGGGGTGGGGGTGGGGCGGGGGTTCCAACGTACGCTGGCCGCAGTCGGCTCCGAGGAATCCGGCGGGGCACTGGCACGTCCCCGTGGCCGTGTCGCAGCGTCCCCCGTTGTGGCACTTGCACTGCCGCTCGCAGTCGGAGCCGTAGCTGCCCTCGGGGCACTCTGCGGGGCGGCGGGCAGAACGAACGCAACGGCGGCTCGGCAAACGAAGCGGCCCAACGTCGACAAGCAAATTGAGGATCGTCACGGTGAGATAGAGAGCCCCTCCGCAGGGCCCTACCAAGGAATGTGGCGGTCGCGGTCACAGCGTCCTAATAAATGGGTTATGACCTGGCTAGGTGGTGAAGGGTTACATTAACAGATTGACATGCTAATCTCTAGCAACACAATGACCGAGGTATAGCTAGCTCTGCGATCTTACATTCACTTGCAAATTCCATCTCTAGCCCTGCCCACTTACCCTTGCGTTGTACCCATCTCAAACCTAGATAACTTTTGGCTGCAGTAGCTCTCTCGCAATATTTATTCCTGCCTCAGCAGTCCGCCTGCTGTATTGTTTCACCTGAAGACGATTGCTTGTGTTGCGACTGAAAGGTCGTGATTTTTATTATTATTATTATATAATTTTTCTATATATGTGACTTTACCAAAAGATCAAAAGAGTAGGTGGTAAAAGTTTATCGCTGCGATTGCTTGCTCATGACACTGCTGCCAGAAGGGCCTCCGCTTTCAGATGCGCTTCTGCGGCCGTCTGGAACGCTCTTTCTTACGATATTAGGAAGCCCTACCCCATTCGAACTGCTGATCCACTAACTGTGGTGAACCCATATATACTGCTGGGCGCATAGTGCACATTGCCTTCACAATTATTATTTTTAAGAGACCACCCGAAGTTGGTAGGAAGTGTAGTTGTGTTCTTCACTCACTGCTGTCACATTGCGGTCCGTGGAAGCCAGCGAGGCAGTTGCACTTCCCCGTGATGGGGTGGCATTGCTGGTTGTCTGCCGAGCACTGGCACACGGAGTTGCAGTTCTGACCGAACGTTCCAGCTGGGCAAGCTGCGCAGAGACGCACAACGGGAACGCGGTCCGTGCGTGTTAGGACGCAGTCCGTGCGTGTTAGGACGCGGTCCGTGCGTGTTAGGACGCGGGGAGAGATGGTGGTTAACGGTGGTGGCCACTGGAGCCTCTGCGATACAGAGACTTAGAGTTGGGGGGTGGTGCATTCAGCCCTTAAATATAATCGAAACCTCCGATTAGCACAGTTAGTTACGTACGGTGCGAAATAAGTTCAACGCACATACATACACAATTCAATAGATTATGACAATAGGTTTTCCCCTTCTTTCTGGCAACAAAACAGGTGTCAAGATGTTAAAACACCAAACTGAAATCTTTTACAAGGAATCATGCCTCCATTAACCACGATACTTGTGGTCAGAATGCAAAAAAAAACGTCCTCTGATAATATATGCATTGTCTTTGAAACTGATTGGTCCACACCAGAGACAGCTGGTCTGTATGTATTTGCAGCAACCGACATCGTTCAGTATCGACAAAGCAATCAATACACGGTCGACATGGAGTAGAAGTCAAGATGATAGCAGCGTGATGTATGATGAATACAGATCAATGTGAATCGTCACCCTGCACGGTATCGTGCACTGGGACAGCGTTGTTCCTTGGAGACTCACTCTGGTCACATCCATTGCCGGTGAATCCCGGGGGGCAGCCACAATTCCCCGTCACGTGATCGCAGGGCACGCCGGACGCGCACGAGCACCTCCGGGCGCAGCCCTCGCCGTAATGGCCCGGCAGGCAGGCTACGGGGAACAAACGTCACTTGAGCGTCTTTCTGGTTTTTGTTTGTATCGTTATTCAAGAAACCAGGATGCAAAGTAGATTTCGAAGAGGGGGAGGGGGCTGGGGTGGGGGAGGAACATTTATGGGGGGCGGGGGGGGGCAAGAAGATTGAATAAGAAGTAGGGGAGCATCTCTCTCGTTCACAATCGCCGGCCACGACGTGAACACTTTGTGGGTACGGCTCTGAGATGTGTTCTCGGGCTGTAACGCGCGCTCGTCGGCAGGATGTCCGACGTTTCCATGCGTTTGGAGTAATTTGGCTGCTATAAATTTCCACATGTTGAGCCATTTCGTTCAGCTACCATTTGTGAGTGCCAGGTCACTTCTGGAAAGGAGCTATGTAGCTCAGTGGGCCTTACCTGGTAAAATAAAGTAAAAATAGTTCAGTTCAGTTTATATTATTCAGTTCTTCAGCAATAATTGTTTTGCAACTCTAGACGCTTGCAGCACGTGGCAGGAAGCGTGCTGGGATAGTCGTGCCGAACGCGCGCGTTACAGCCCAATAACACACTGGTAGAAGTGATGCAGAACAGCCGCGAACAGTAATATTCAGTAGGCGGTAATGGTCCAGGTCGATCACTTGGATGGATAACTTTATTTTGTAACAAAAACACATTTGGGGGAAAAAATGCAGTTTGCAAAACAATTAGAAGAGGATGTAAATGTGTTCGCGAATGTGTGTGTGTGTGTGTAACTCAGCTTCGAATGAGTATCTGGTGCAGTGTGTAAACATCGCACCAGGTACTCATTCTCAAAGGAGACAAAGGCGGCCGGGCGTGGCGAAGGCCATCCCACCCCCTCACGTGCCATTCCGGCCTTCATAGGTGCTGCTCGCTAACAGCACTTGCCCCAACGCACTCTTAAGGCTATACGGGTGGGGGTGGGAGGCCGTTGTCTGTGTGTGTGTGCGCGTGTTGCGTGGGTGCGCGCGTGTGCATGTGCGTGCGTGGGCGCTGCGGAGTGGACTCACGCTTGTCGCAGTGGCGGCCGCGCCACCCGGCGTGACAGTGGCAGGCGCCCGTCGCGTGGTGGCACGAGTCGCCGTGCGTGCACTCGCACCTCTCCGCGCACCGCCCGCCAAACAACCCGGGCGGGCACGCTGCGCAAAAATAAAAAGACAGCGCGACGGGCCAAGCCACCACCGGTCAACGGGCGGCAGAGACGGGTGATCCCGGTCCCGCTCGGCCGGTGTGAACGTGAGCTCTCGCTCTCTCGCTCACCACCGGTCAACAAGAGAGAGAGAGGGGGGCTATACAAGGGGGGACTCTGGCCCAGGTCTGTCGGTGGACTGCGCTGTCCTCTTGAGTGGTTGAGCCTCTGTGTTTGTGTGTTGACCGTGAGCCTGCTTACATTGACAAAGATCCCCCGCGATTCGCCTGTAGCAGACTGTTGGGACAAGTGCTGTTAGCGAGTAGCACCCATGAAGGCCAGTGCTGTGGCACACGAGGGGGTGGGGTGACCAACACCACGCCCGACCGCCTTTGTCTCCCCAGTGGAGATGCTTACACAAGCACACTGGGTATGCATTTCAGGATGAGTCGACCTCGGGGAGGCTCACAACCGGTTCAGATAATTGAACTCGGATCGCCGGTTTCTGAGCAGAAGTTCCAATATGCCAAGTGAAAAGTAACAAACGGCACTCTTGAAGTTGCAATAGATGAGAGTTTATACGTTTCCTGAATTGAGCGAGGTTGTCATAACAACTTGGGAATCCAAATGATGAGAGGGAAGATGCAGAATGAGAAGTGATGTGACCTGCAGTGTGGTGAGCGAGTGAGTGAGCAACGCTCACAACAACGAGCGGAGCGTCGAGTGATAAAACAAGTTGGCACAGTAGGGGGCACAGGTGGTGGTGCATCGGTCAGTCATCTCAGTCAGCCTACCCGTGGCACCTGGGTCTGCCCCGTGACCTCCTGCCAGCGGGCGTTCGACACTTCACGTGGCCATAACGTGCACCTATCCTGGCACAAGCGCGGTGGCGATGATCACTGCCACTTAGTGGCGATTGGCAGTTGTTGTTCTTGTTGTTGAGCAAGTGTGTTGTGGTGGGGAGTGGTAGTGTAGCGGTTGATGCGCTGCGCTACGAACCTGGCCACCCGAGTTTGATTTCCGCTCATGGCCAATACCAGTGACGATTATCTGAACCCGTCATGAATCTCCCCTAGGTTGACTCAGCCTCAATTGAGTACCTCGTGCGGTGTAAACATCGCCATGGCGGCCTTTATAGGTGCTCGCTAACAGTCTGTTAAGGCGAGACGGGGGATATTTGTATTTTGCCCGTGTTTGCCGTCTGCAGTGCGATGGTTGAACAGTCTGGATGAGACTAAAGAATCAGTCTGGTCGATCGAGTTCTCAGCATGGGAGGGGGCATCAAGTTCACGGGGAAAGAAACCTTGGCAGAGGGGCCGCACAAATGCCAGCGTGTGGGGCCGGGAATATTGGTTGTCAGGGGTCGATGCGGTTTCTGTGCAGATTCATGGAATCAGTCCACGGTTACTGCCTGGCAATGCTGTGGGGTGTTTTTTTTTTAATAACCATTTGATGTCGTATGACATTAAAAATCTGGTAAGGTTGCTTGCAGCAGCAATAGAACATTGTGTTCCGCTGTAATAGCCTACATATGGAAACCGCATGTATAACCTCTGTATTGTGAGGCCAGCTTTCCAAGTGGATCAAAAGACGTAGTAAGATACGTTTTCGAGTGCCAAGTGGAGTTCATCTACTAACAAGTATATTTAAAAAAATAAGCCGTTGATATATGTTTTACTTCAACTTGACAAAGGAAAATAATAATACGTTGCACAAGATAAAAAAATACTTAATTGAATCAAAGTTAAACTAATGCACTCTATTGTACATCGATTGTAAATGCTACACACAAACTAGTATGATGCTAATATACGAATCAAATAAGGCGTGTGACGCATTTTACGGAGGAGGTGTTAACGGAATAAACATTTGTGTCCATATATTTTTGGTTCTATGTACATATACTGTAATTCTAAAGTATTGTTAATCTAATTAAATTATGCCTTGCACTGCAATTGCGTGAAAACAAATGCACAGCTTTCTGTAAATGCACGCTACAAATCGCTTACACCGGCATGACTCAAACTGTAGTCCTTGCAAGTCTGCACAATGTAGCTCTCAGTGTTTCACCAACCATGAGATGCAAGTATATGTATTGTATATGTTAACACGTAGGCCTTCGCGACCAATATCATCCACAATACAGTTGTTTTGGGCTTAGATCAGATACATATATCTATATATCTACATATTTACGCAATCAATATATCTAGATATCTATGCGATCTAACCCAAAAAACCCTCTTATGGATGATATTGTTTCGTTTGTCGGCCCTATTGGCATTCCAGAGCAACATTATCCAGTGTCATTTGTTCAAACAAATAAAATCTGTGCTGGTTTTTGACCTTCGAGATCTCATCTTAACAATCAAACCTGTTCGAGCTAATGCTGAAGAGTTCACGTGGTGCAGCTGCTCGCCGTGCGATAAACACGAAGGGATGAATGCAACGAGAGAGAGCGAGAGAGAGACACGTACTCGACTTGCACTTGTCACCAGTCCAGCCTGCCTTGCACGTGCACCTCCCTGTCTTTGCCTCGCACGTGCCTCCATTCTGACAGCTGCAGGATTGCTGACAGCCAGCACCAAACTTTCCACCTGTGCACTCTGCAATGGAATTACACGATTACGTAAAAAATAATAATAAGACAAAGGTATTATCTTCATACAACTATTGATCCACAAGAGTCTCACAGAGTCTCAATACTTTTTTTTCAGGAAGGCCCTGCATTTAAGATCTTGGGCGAGTTGCATTAATTCACGTTTTGGCTTCATGTGGGCGGAAACTATAAAACACGGATACAACTCATGCACATCTAAAGGGATAAGACCCAAAGCGGAATTCAATAAATTGAAGGATGCTTTACTGTATCACCGTATCGTTGCCACGTGGCCTCTCAAGCTCGGAGTGGAAGATGGCAGCCTTCACGTGGCACACTCTGTTAAGTGATAAATCTCGACTAATGCCATCATTGACCCGGTGTCAATCTTCCGGTCTGCGGAACAACAACTTCATCTCAAGCTGAGTTTCCCCAGGACGCCTCCCATCCAAGTACTAACCCGGTGAAACGCTGCTTAGCAATCGGGGTGATTTGGTTGTCACCATTCAGGAGGTTCTTTCCCAAGATATTTGACCAGTTGCATGTGCAGTCTTAGATGATCAGTAATGATTATTGTTTTTTTTTTATCATCCCCTCATTCCTCTGTGGTCAGTAAAATGAGTACGGATTGTGGGTGTTTTAACTGTGGTTAAAACTGTGGTTATCCTATGAAGAAGCTGGATCCTGTCAACTGGTGGCTCAAGGCCCCCATTAGTTTGCTTACCAATGAAGAACTTGTTTAACCAAGAAAGTCATATTGACTGTGTTTGGCCAATGCCGATTGCATTGCATGTTTTTTTTTTGGTGGAAGGATCTCTATTTGAGGGGCTCTTAGAGGGCCCTTCCAGAGGATAATTTGGCCTCATTTTTCATGTTGGCCAAGTATATTGGAAGAGTTTAACTCGGTGCAGAATTTCATGACCAATACTATAATTCGTTTTTTTTTTGTTCAGATCGCGTAAATAAAATGTTCATCGTTATCTTACAAATGCCTGCTGGTTTTAACTACCAGCGAAACGTTGGACCACATTCTCAAATGTCGTGGATTGCTCTCCAACAATACACCGCTTGGTGGTGCTGATGCAGCAGTAATAAAACGGCACGTTTGTTCACGTGACAACTTTATTGATCGGCTGTGTTGGATGGAGGAGGGTGTATGACGCATACTTTCACTTGTGTGATCTGACCCCAAGTATCAATTACGTATCACGGTATGTATGTATGTCAAACTTATTTCGCACTGTGCATAGCCCACCGTGATAAAGAGGTGGGGGGTACCCATTCCTCGCCCCAAATGCACGCTACCTGCCCAAAACGACTCGACCACAAACCTCGCACAGAGAAAAACCGCACACACACAAGCGCGCGCGCGATCTGATGAAAACGTGGAAGTGAAACTGCGGCGAGCATCATCGGTCGAGGTTTGGGGGGTAGGGCACGGTGCAGTGACGCACCTGTTTCACAGGCGACGCCTGTCCACCCGTCGGGACAGGAGCAGTCTCCCGTCACGTGGCTGCAGGTGGCGCCGTTCCGGCAGATGCAATGCTGTGCACAGCCGGCTCCGTAGAATCCGGCATCGCACTCTGTGGACGCAAACGTAGCGACCTCGTCAGCTGACTGGTGAGCCGTCGTGCAGCCAGACGTCGAGGGGAAAGGTAGCCGGGCTCGGGCACGACAAATTGGGCACGATGAGTCCCTTAGAAACTATTCAACATATTTCGTTAATTTACCAGGACAAGTCCACCAAGCTATATAGCTCTTTTTGAGAAGCGACCTGGCCACAAATGATAGCCCCAATGAAGTGGCTTGTCACGTGGAATTTTATCGCAGCCAAATACTCTAAACGCATGTTGATTCTGAATGTGGAGAAAAATTCACTTGACCACAGGGAGGGAGAACATGCAAACTCCAAATATACAGGCCTCAGGGTCGTGATCAAACCCACGACCTCCTGCATACCAGAGGAGGTAGGTAGCATCTCGCCACCGCGATACCTGATAATGGCCGATGATCAAGACTGATGATAAGAGTGGCCGCCAAGGAAAGATTGGAAAATGTTTTTTTATTCCTGGCAGAGATTTTATTGTAAAGCAGCCTGAGAACCTCTGGCATGAAGAGTGTAATATAAAAGCAAATTGTCTTGTATTCTATTACAGTCCTATTGGAATATTGTATTACTACAACTTTGTCATTGAAACGGTGGACAATGTAACACGTGAAAAGCATTGGAAAATGAAAAACAACTCTATACCGTTCCTCAGTAACACTGCCACCTAAAGAGGAAACATATACCAGGTGGTATTTCGGGCAGCTGCTCTTGAAATTAATCATGTTGCTGGTAGACCAACAGCTTCACAGAAAAGTAAACCAACCCCAAGGAAAAAAGAAAAAAATGTGGAAAAAGGAAAAGTATTCCTGTGACTAGCTTCTGCTTGTTGATCAGAGTCAGGGAAAGGCAAAAACGAAAGCAGATGAAGAGAGGAACCATCCAGTGCCCAGCTGCTCTGGGGGGTGAACGTTCGCCAAACACAAATCGAGGACGTCAATGCTGCCGGCTCAGTGCCTTATAGCACGCCCGAGGCAACCGACCATCTCTAACTCGAGGATAAGGATTCCTTTGACGCGTGTGCGCGCACGCAGGGAGCGCCACAGACGCACACGGGGACCGCCACGTCCGCGGTCCAGCCAGACCATTCTCGCCGGGATAATCAATCGAGTGCGGCGCGGGATTCATGAAGGGTCCGCAAAGGATTCGTGAAGGGTCCGCGAAGGATTCATGAAGGGTCCGCGAAGGATTCGTGAAAGGTCCGCGAAGGATTCGTGAAGGATCCGTGAAGGATTCGCGAAGGATTCGCGAAGGAATCGCGAAGGGTCCGTGGCGCCCACGCGCGTAGCATCGATTCACTCACTGCGCTGGCACGACGCCCCCATCCACCCAGGGGTGCAGAGGCACAGGCCCGTCACGTGCTCGCACGTCGCGCCGTTGTGACAGTCGCACGTCTGGCTGCAGTCCTCGCCGTGCGTCTGCCCTTGGCAAGCTGTGTGGGTGGAGGGGAGGAAAAAACGAACGCGCGTCAAGCGTACGACCGTGAACCATCGGTCTGTGCCCGGTGCACCACCAGTACCTCCGATTGGCACGGCTGGCAACATATGTACGCATATTGAACTTCTTTTGCACTGTACGTAGGCAACCATGATCATCGGAGGTGCGGGGCAATGACAAGAAACTAAACACAGAAAACTGTACGAATAATAAGAAAATATTTTACCCTTTCAGGCAATAAAACAGGTGTTAAGATGTTTAAACACCAAATAGATACCTTTTGCATGGAATCAAGACTGCATCAAGCACACACACTTGTGGGCAAAACATACAAAGAAAGAGTCAATCCTATTCTTATTTCTCATACATTGACACTGCCAAAAAAGGTCCCATAGTTACAAAAAGCAGTTCTAAAGATATTATTTTTCAATTTAGATGCGAAAAAAGTTCAACATATGTACGGTATTGTATACTGGCCAGAAAGTTGTTTGTTTCATCTTCCACAACCACAAAACAACTCAACTGGCCAGGGAACAGCCTTTGAATAAAACCCTGCAGGGCTTCACTAAGAGGCTGTCTGCAGAGTAACCCCACAGTAGTCAAAATTTATTTTATATTCTCAAATCTGACTCCACAAATGTAGGGCATGTCAAATCCAGTTAGGTTGTTTGTGTCTGCTCAGAGATCAACATACGTTTGATATCTGAAAAAAATATTTATTTTAACCACATAATCAATCCAGGATTTGAAGCCATGTTCTCAGAGGTGCTGCATCAGTATGGCCTTCAGATACACTTCTGCGGCCGTCTGGAAAGCTCTTCCTTCCGATATTGGAACGCCACTGGAGGTATGGACTAGATTGAAAACTCATTTATTTAGAACTGATTTTTGTGTTTCGTTTGTTGTTCTTCCCTGGCACCTCCGATTAGCATGGTTAACGACGTACGGTGCGAAAGAATCTCAACATATACACATGTATACAACCCCAATGAGCAATATGGCTCAGTACACTGTCTTAGTGGCAACAATCTACTCATTCAGAATCGCCAACTAATTCATGATTCCCAGTTGGAAATTACACGAAATACTTTACCTCGAAAACCAGGTTTCCAATTCATTTGTATTGAATTCTGTGTCATTCATTACAATAAACGTTATTTCTAAAATATACAGGATAGATTAAAACCAAAAAATATACATTTCCTGCCAAAAAGTAAATCCACTCACGATCAGGACAAAAGATTGGTAAAAAAAAAAATGAAGGACACTGCATAATTTTCAGTTTAAATAAGCTACTCACAACATCTGCCATCCAACTACAGTTACATATGTGCAGCCGCTGTATAAAAAAGACCCAGAACTAAATGGAATGAGATGGTCAGTCTGAGACCGACCTCGCTGCACCTGACAACCCCAGCATAACCACAGGGCAGCTGGCCTCGATTCGAACCGCCGATCTTAGCAAAGCCAGCTCAGCATTATGACCTCTGAGCCACCTACTCTCCCCCACCAGTGCCACGGTGGCAAGATGTTAACTACCTCGCCTGGTATACAGGAGGTCGTGGGTTTGATCCCGACGCTGACGCCTGTTGTGTATATTCGGAGTTTGCATGTTCTCCCCGTGGTCGTGTGAATTTTTCTCGGGATTTTCCGGTTTTTCCCTCCACACTTATAAACGTACTTTCAGAGTATTTAGCTGATGTAAATATCCACGTGACGATAAGCCACTTCATTGCACTATAATTTGAAATAGCCAGGTCACTTCTGAAAAAGGAGTTACATGGCTGGTCAGTGGGCATTACCCTCGTAAAATAAAACAAAACAGAGTTTATTTTAAAGTTTGAGTTTAGAATTAGTTCACTTCAAGTGCACGTAGATGGTTGCGACACTCACGCTGACTGCACTTGGGGCCCACCCAGCCTGGAGCACAGCTGCACTGGCCCGTGATGTGGTTACAGCGAGCGCCGTTTCGGCAGCCGCATGGTTCCTTGCACTCCATCCCAAAGAAGCCGTCGGGACAGGCTGTTGGAGAGACATAATAACAAGTGCAAGTCGTTAAGACGCCTTGTTGTTGTCCTTACCCCCGCACCTCCGGTTAGCACGGTTCGCTGTGTGCTGCGCGAAAAGAGGTTCAAGCATGCATGCGTACAAGTGCAACGCTGAGCTGCTGTGCGAGTTATCGCGTGTACAGTTTTGTGTTCAAAAACAAGTTGCCGCAGTGCCGTAGACGGATGCATCCGTTCCTTCTCTTGGGGAAGTAAAACAAAATATGTATTATTAAAAATATATATATTTCTTAATGTTATTCCAGTTGTGCGATTGCCATCGTGTCATAAAACAAAGAAGGCATTCTGGACTCTAAAAAAGCAGTGCATCACCCGCGTTTAAGAGAATGGTCCGCTGAAGACGATGTCACGGAACTGCTTCCGATATCATTTCATCGAATTTTTTTTTTTTATCCACCCACACAGAAAAACTTATTATGCGATTGTCCATTGCAAAGCACCACCTTATTAGCATATTTCAGTGATTTATTTTTATAAATTCAATTTATGTTCACATGCTTATCCAATCAGCATTGCAAATGTCAAGCGGTTAGTGGCATTAAATTGTGAATTTCAAATGTAAAAGGTGTAATAAAGGAAATTGCTCCCTGTGCATGCTGCGGAATGCAATTGTGCATGTCGTAATAAGTCACAGCTGCTACATATGGTTACATTTTCGAACGTTCATTTGGCAGTGTGAAATTGGGCACCTCTGCATGCTGTTGTGCATTAGAAAAAATGCCCAATTTTATTCATATTCAAACCAGTGGGGCCGTTATTATTATTATTATTTCGCTCGTTTTCTCAAGGAAGCAAAACTGAGTCTCGTGACTCTTCTTTAGGAGGGTCTTGCCAAGTGTTTACATTTGGGAGTGATAACTGCTCAAAATATATTCCAGTGGAGTAATAGGTACGTTTTAAATTAGGATCATGACTCTATCGCACAATGGCTTACTCTTACAAATTATTATACCCGTCATGAAGCAGATGCCTCGTATTGTGTGATTAATAATATCCATGGCATTAACCAGGGCGGCCGCTGGATTAAAACTGTGAAAATCTAAGATTGCTCTATGTTTTCTCCCCACATAGCAGATTAGCCAACCGTGCTTATAAGAGGTGCGTGGGAATGGTAAAACAAACTAAACACAAAAAGCAGTTCCAAAGAAATGAGTTTGTCAATCTAGATGATTTCACAGTGCATGGCTCCAGTGGCTTCCTAATATTGGAAGGAAGAGCACATTCCAGACGGCCGCAGAAGCTCATCTGACAGCACACGAAGCGGGTAACCGTCTTTGTTCATTGGCGAGCCAAAAGCCGCTGCTGCTGTTGAGACGATGATCGGAGTTCGCGTGACGGTTTATGCTCCTTGACGAGGAGGAACAGAAACCACGGCAGTCGCGATCGAAGAGCAACAGGGAGGTGAGTGACTTTCTGCGAGCGACTGGAGTGACCGTCTTTGGTCGACGGTTAGCCAAGAGCCGCTGCCGCCGCCACCGCTGCTGCTACTGCGAGGAGGAGGAAGACCGGGATTGGGATTGGCGCGTGTGACGGTGACCCCTTACGGCGCTCGCAGTATGTCCCGGTCCAGCCAGCGTCACAGGTGCACGCGCCGCTCACGTGGTCACACGCCGCGCCGTGCTCGCACTGGCACCGACTCCTGCAGCTTGGCCCGAACGTTCCGGCGGTGCACTCTGCACGCAAGCACAAACGAAGGCCCCGCGTGGCCGTGAGCGGAGTGTCGGGGCGCAGCGCCATGTTAGCGAGCGAGAGCCCGTCAAGGCCGGCGCGGCACACGAACGGAAGTTTGTGGCCACAGCTACGTTCGACCACCTGTGTCTCCGGTGCTGCTTGCACACTGCACCAAAGCGCTGAGCCGGTCATTGACCTCTGCTAGGTTGAGTCAAACTTGACTTGAGTCAACCTAGAGGAGGCCCATGACCGGTTCAGCTGTCAGGTCGCTGGGTTAGTAGTGTTGTGAGCTAATTGCTGCTCCACCGCTCAAGGTTGTATTCATTAACCAATGATTATAATGTCAGACTCATATTTATACATTTCTAGGCTCAAGTGAGATGAGCGGGCAAAGTTTTCCACCGCTCATTTGCACGAGGGGACATCTTTTGTTGTTTTACGTCTGACCTGGCAACAGGCGTATTCTCACTGACTTGTGAAGCGTGTCTGTTTGAAACAATTGCTCAGACCATACGAGGACGGGGCAAGCGGGAAGCGGCGCTTACTCTGTTCACAGCGAGGCCCAGTGAACCCAGCCTCGCACATGCACTTCCCCGTCACCGGCTCGCAGCTTCCCACCACGCTGTTGCACTCGCACAGCCGCTCGCAGTTTCGTCCCCAGCGCCCAGCGTGGCATGCTGAAACAGATAAACGCACCCAGTCATCTCTCGCTCACGCCACTGCTGGCGGAAGGAAGGGCCTTTTTACTCGGGGCGGCTCTAGAGAGAGTATTGTGGACCACTCTTCCATGCCGGCCAGACCTCTTGGAAGAAGTAGCCACGCTTTACCCGTATTCCAGCTAGATACAAAACACAATTTTAAATTACGATTTTTTTTATATACCTAAATTGTTTAATTGGTCCAAATTTAAAAGTTATATTTTTTTGGGTCATTCGTCGATAAATGAATAATGTATATCCCTTGGTCTATCCACTGCTGGATGAGGGCATCCCCCCAACCACTGCCACCTCTGACGACCCTGCGATGTAATGCTCCACCTAGCACCTGCACACAAACTGATTTCAACGTTCCATCTACTCCACAGACGTCCCCTCATTTGTGTCCCTTTCCTTGGACACCACTCCGTGATGTATTATTGTTCCTATTATTGATGGTTCGACCGAACTTCACCAAGCAGGTGGAGGGTGACAGGGCAAGACCCAGTTAAGACATCACCTCTCCACTGATATTAGTGGTGGCCAGAAATAAAACTCGGGTTGCTTGGTTCATTGCGCAGTACACTAAGCACTGCACCACCACTCCCCAGTGAAGAGGAAAGTGGCTCTTTAAAACAAATCACCATTATTATTACTACGCAATTAACCCTTTCCCATTCCGATGACGTACGTGCATGGAACTGGAAGGAAAAATAAACATAACTTTATCGGTACCGAGGCTCCCACAAGGCCATGCGGGAGGGCGTGTGGCACGTTTTCCTGCCAGCTATCGTAGAGCGCGGTCGTGTCGCTACAGTTATCTGCGATGAGTACAGTGTCTTTAAAAACAATGGCGCTACGCCTCTCTAAATAAAATGAATGCTTTTGAACCGCTTGCGCGTTCCGAGATTCATCGGTGAACGGGGACCCCCACCCCGCAACTCGCAGACGTCTCGGAGCAGGCAAAGGGTTAAAGAGGAGAAGCGGCAGCACTCACGTTTCTTGCAGTTGTGTCCGAACCAACCCGGGCCGCAGGAGCACTGCCCGGTGGCGGGGTCGCACTGAGCGTCATTCTCGCACGCGCACCGCAGCGCGCAGCCCTGGCCAAAGCGCCCGGCAGGGCAGCCTAAGGCGACAGCAGGAGCAGACGCCGCGCGTTACACCCCCCCCCCCCCCCCCCCGCTGCTCTCAATCACCTCGCTCAATTCAAGAAACCCGTTGGCTCGTGTCTGTTATCACACCTTCAGCGGCGCTGTGTGGCGATGATCCGTTTGGCATTTTTGGTTGGCCTTTGGATCCGTGTTCATGAAAATGTGATATGTAAAACATATAGATATAACGCTTCCTGAGGAGCATTAAATTTAATTAACGTTGAACTACCAGCGTGCTTGAACAAACATGCGGGTTATCATTCTCGTGATTGTGCGATGCAATCTGAGTGTATCGGCTGCAGGTATTTCTAGTTTGAGCTTTTTGTTGTGGTGCCCTTTATTAATTTGACTATTATTATTATTGTTGTTATTTTGCGTGGTAGTAGGGTTTTTAGCTCACCTGATGACGGACGTTTGTGTTGCGCCCGAAATGTCGTGTTCTTTCATAATTGTTTCTATCTACGTGACTTTACCGAAAGAGAGTATGGCTTCCTGCAGTCACGAAAGCTTCAAATCAAGATTAGTAGGGTTTTAATTTGCTTGCTCGTGGCTGTAAATGGGATTTGGTCCTTACATATAATTAATTAACAGCGTTGTGGGATGCTATAGCGAGAATTACCCTATATAAAATGTAGTACTATTAATTCGCACATCAAATTGTCACAGACTATACACAAACACAACCTCACTTGTGTTACAACAGCTGGTATGACTGCGTGCATACGGTGGGAGTAGGTTCCCAATGACAAATAGGGGCAATGGGTTTTCTCTTACTGCTCTGGCAGGCTTTGCCCATGAATCCGGCCTTGCAGTCGCACTCTCCCGTCGACCTATTGCACGCCCCTCCTCCACTCTCGCACGAGCTGCAGTTGCCCTGGCAGCCCAAACCCCAGCGTCCCTCCGGACACTCTGAACGTGAAACAGAACACACGCGTCAAGCGGGCAACACACGCACATACGTATTATATGTGAAGGTAAAAGTGCAGTCCTGCAATTGCTTGCTCGCGACACTGCTGGCAAGAGAGAGAGCCTTCACTCAGTTTCATTTATTAGGTACTAGCTGTACTAGCTGGCTTCGCCCAGGACTTGGATTCACCATGCCCGGCCGCCTTTGTCTCCCCAGTGGCGATGTTCACACACCACACCGGTTACTCGTTTGAGGCTGAGTCGACCTAGGGGAGTCCCAGGACCGGTTCAAATAATCGTCACCGGTGTTGGCCGTGAGCAGGAATCTAACTCGGGTCGCCGGGCTCATAGCGCAGCGCTAACCACTACACGACAATGAATTACGCTTCCACATGCACGGGTCATATGACAGGCATGGTGTACAGTCTGGAAAGTACCCACGTGGCAAATTTCAAGTTTGTTGCATGTCGGGAAGTCCGCTAAACATTTTGAACAGACACACGTAATCACAAATTTGCCTTTTCTATATATTATTGGGTATAACTCTGTGAGCCATGCGGCTCTTGACTCGGGTGCCACCGCAAAAAAACATGAACAAGAAACATCGTAAAGTGACTACACCCGAGGGAGTTCTGAAGATGCCCTCTCGACTGTAGTTGGGCTTCCCCCCTCCCCCGTCCCCCCATGCTTGCTAGGAATAGGTTGAGAAGAGTACCTATTGTTTCTGCCGTTCCGGGAGATCGACTCGAAGTGGTGGCCTCTGTATCAGCGGTGTATTAGAACTTGGTATCATGCAAAAGCTTCACTTGGAATAACATGCGAGTTTGCGTAAAGAAAGACATTCTCAATAGATGCATATTTCAGATATGATGTGGCGTATGTATGTGACGTATGGATCAGACACTGACAATTTAACAGATGATAAAAGTGCGCAAAGAAGTGTGGAGATATGCAAGCATGGATATACACATAAGAGACACATAGGTGGACGTTATGCCTTATGCATGGACCAGGGACAACTGATGATTCTCATCACAGTCCAGTAAAAAAGATATATAACCCCTTGGTGGATTTTGAAAAATCTATAAGATGTGATTTAGACACAACTGCTGATGGGATAGTAGCCTCGATGGACCACTTTGTAAGATGAGCACGCATAGGGGAAGTGAAACAACAGCAATGAAAGGCACCTGGATTACAGTAATAGATTATATCCCTACAAGACCAGAGGTGGCAGTGTAGCCAAGGATATTGCTCAACACCGCAGTGATTTGGAAATGCATTAAGATGCCTGTGTTTTTTCTGTGTCGACCTTCATGCTTGCTCTGCACAGCTCGTCGATGTGTTTTAGCCGGTACCACGTGTTGTTTTGCACAATGTCCGACGCTTCTCTCCACGTTCGTGGGAGCTTTGCCAGGAACTGAATTCGGTTTCCAAAGCTGAATTCAGTTCTTGATGAATATGGCGAAGGTAGCAGGGCGAAAGAAGAAGCTCCAAGGACGCGGAGCGAAATGTCAGACGTCGTAACGAACAGCCCCGCGGTACGTCACGAAAAACACAATAAAGAAAAAACCGAACGGTTATCCAGGTTGCTTCAAAAAACTGTTAACACTTCCGAGAATTTGCAACAATACTGCAAAAAATTTACCTCCGGGCTCTGGAGACCACTTGGAGAAGATTCCAGGCGTGTGTTGCCAATGATGGCGAACAAGTGGAGACTTTTTTGAAGCTATTATCATACATTTGTTTGTCATGTTGCATTGTATTATCCGTTCTTTTTTCCATTAAAAACAATTGTCCCATAAAAAGTGTTAACATTATTTTGAAGCACCCTGTATAAAATTCAACTGACCTTTCTCACAGGAGCCGCCAGTCTTGCCAGGTGGACAGAAGCATCGGCCAGTGGCGTGATCGCAGGGCGCCCCGCCACACGCACACGACGCCTGGCACCCGCCTCCAAATCTCCCAGCAGGGCACTCTGCGAACATGTCGTCCGAGTTGCTTGCCCATTTCGGCGATTTTCCGCTTTTAAACGTGGACTTTGTGTCGCGTCAATGCATGTACGGCGTATAACGCGCGACGTAGTATATGTCTCAAGCGCGACGTTGTCGATGAAATTCTGAGCGTACGTTATGGTTCAAACCTTTCACGTGCACTGTCCATTGTTTAATTGACTGTGGTACCGTTCAGCACACAATTGTAGGCTACGCTCCTTCAAAGGAGAAAGGGGAATAGCAATACGAAATTATCTCCTGAAACCCTCTCGTGGCTAGCAGACGTCTCGACATTGGAATTTAGCTCCTGAACACATTGTCAAACGCAATAATAGACTTGTTCAATACTTACTTACCTCGTTTATATGTTCATTGTGCCTAATTGGTATCCACTTAGGTGACAAAAGTGCATTTATCATAAAATATCACAAGTTAAACCGGTCAACAAAGCAGAATAGGTGCAGTTTTTGTGATTAATGTACGTCGATTAATTTTGCTTTGCTTTCAAAAGCCTCGTGCATTATGTCAAAAAAAAACACCAGCAGTTCCCGACGAAGTGAATTGTGGGCCCCTGAAAATAGAGCAGAGCCGCGGGGTGAGAGGCGCTTACTCATTTGGCAATCGGTGCCATGAAATCCGGGCTGGCACTGCAGTTTGCACTCCCCGCTGACGTGATCGCAGGCCACGCCGTCGGCGCACGTGCACCGGAGTCGACAGCCGGAGCCGTAGAAGCCGTCGGCACACACTGCCAGAGAAAGATCAGACCAGAGCATTGGCTTCATAACAACGACAACAACAACAGGAATGCAGTAACAACAAACGGAAGCGATGCAGAAAAGCAATGTCGCTGGCGAGCGTGCACATGTGTTAACGATTGTTCTGATTACGCCCGTAGTCGCAGCCGGTGTGGCCAGACAGAAAGAGAGAGAGAGTGGGGGTTGGATAAAATTAAAAAGAAACGGCAGATAAGCAGGCGCATGTGTGTGGGGCAAGGGAAAAAAAATTGCTCAGCAGCCGATTTTTTGCAAAATGTCAAAATGAGAATTATAATCGTTTCACCAATTATTCCCAACCGCCGGACCATGACAAATGCGGGCTTCCCATTTTTATAAGAGCTGTTCATTGAACAAAAAAAGGAAACGCACGAAATAACACTCAATGGATCTGGTGATGTTGATGGTTAAATACGAGTGTCGCTTACAAAACTAACAATTGCTCTTGAAAGCATCCAGCCAGGAGGAAATTACTGTAACCCACAATGAGTATTTCTAGGCTACACAGAAACAAAGCGATCATAGTGTGGGTTATTTAAAAAAAAGCACCGTTTCAAATAAGCCATGCTAGATTAAAATAAAAGGCTCATTTAATTAATCTTCAAGCGCTGACCTCTGATAGAAGCTTAATGTTCCTAATTCAACCTTCGCAGCGGCACTTAGCATTCATTATAGCTTGCAACAAGAGGAGGTGTATTCTGTGACAGTCATCAAGATTTTAAATAATTGCTTCACTCCAAATATAATTTGTATTTTCCACTAAGCCAGGAAACCCCTACAAGCCAAGTGGTGAACGCACAGCACTATGAACCTTACAACCTGAGTTTGATCCCAACATCTGTGATTAGTGATATCTGCATTGGCCCTGGGCTCTTCCCTCCCCCTGTCCCTTCTTGGGCTACCCCCAGCATGTCGCGGTTAATGATGTAGATGTCACGATGATGTCATCGCATGGTTGATGATGGAGGTGGCATCACCAAACCCCACCCATCATCGCCCATCCAGCGTCACATCATCATCATCACGATCCATGGGGCAGATCGCCCATAGGTGTCCACTGCACATTTTGGCATTTCTTTCCACTTCCCTCTTGTCTTGTGCCAATGTGCTTAGCTAGCGTCACATCTTGCTGGCACCAGCCTCTCATGTCGTCGTCAAGCCATTCTCTTGTAGGTCTTCCTCTCTTTCTGGTTCCTTACATTTTTCCCCGAACAACGCCACACTTTACATGGTCCAGTTATTGTCCATCCTACATATGTGTGTCCAAATAGTGCAAGTTTCCTTCTCATCACTGCCTGCATTGGCCGGTCTGCTTCTATGTGCAACCATTGTTCTTACTTCTACATTTGTGTCGCACACACACACACGCACTATCCGTCCAGTAACAGGGGGCGGCGGGTCATGGATAGCTTGAATAATCGGATGGCCCTTGTCGTGCTCGTACCTTCCTGGCACTGGCTGCCCTGGTAGCCAGCGTGGCAGCGGCAGGTGCCGTCCTTGGGGTTGCACTCCTGCGTGCTGGCCTTGGCACACTGGCACTCGGATGAGCAGCTCGGGCCGTACGCCCACTTAGGACACGCTGCAAAGACAAACACAAAGATCCCTCGTATATTTCTAGATTTTAAGCTTTTGTGACTGCAAGGATTCCTATTCTTGGGTTTTTTTAGGTAATTAATAGAAGTAAAATAAAAATATAAAAATATTTTGCTTCTATTAATTTTTATTTTAGGTAAAATTTGTATTTTAGGTAAAACATTCTAATTAAAATTAATATAAGTAAAATAAAAATATTTTACTCCTCTCTTTCTTTGCTTCTATTAATTTTAATATTATTTTTTTACCTACGTGACTTTACCGAAAAAAACCCAAGAATATGAATCCCTCGTATAGTCTTAACAGACTTCAACAGAGCCGCAATCAGAGCCCGGCTGTCAGATCGCTGCCTACGGACGCAACTGCTACCGACGTGCATGAAGTGAGCGTTACCATTAGGTTATTGCCAATTAAATGTTTTCGAAGATGAACGCATGTTGGAAAGTATTACAGAAGCCATTGCGTGTGCATAGTTTTTCTTCCTTGTTTTACATTTTTTTTAATATCTCGAGCATATGCTTATCGTGAACTAACGCTTTGCAACAGGCCACTAAACATAATGGTCGTTTGATCTGTTAGATACTTGCACTGTTACTTGACACGATATCGAATGGCTGTGTGTGATATTGCTGGTACTTAAACAGCCTCATTACTGGGCTTAGCGCTGAATGTTCATAAATAACTGCAGTGGCCTCTGAAGTGCGACACAAGGACAAATATCTCCCGCATAGCTACAACAGAAAGTGTGGGGCAAGTGCTGTTAGCGAGCAACTATGAAGGCCGGCACAGCACACGAGGGGGTGGGTGGCCAGAACCACGCCCGGCCGCCTTTGTCTCCCTAGTGGCAATATTTTCACATCGCACCAGGTACTCATTTGAGGCTGAGTCGAATCTTGGAAAGACCCAGGACTGGTTCCGATAATCGTCACTGGTGTTGGCCGTGAGCAGGAGTTGAGCTCAGGTCGCCGGGTTCACACGCACACACCACCCACACGTGGGCAAGAGCATTCACGACCGAGAGACACGCTGATGGTCATTACAGGGATGCTTTAGCCTGGTAAGTGAATGCCATCATTTGTTTGTACACATGTTCCAAGTTAATGGACCAGTTGCAATGCTGATTAGCACGGTTGGCTACGTACGGTGTGAAAGAAGTTCAACATACATGCAAATTATACTTGAATTTAACAAATGTAAGTGTACATTGGACAAGCAAGAACAATCATTTGTTACGTAATACTTTCCAACATGTGTTTGTCCTCGGAAGTATTTCATTAGCAGTTCGGAAGCCAGAGGGCCAAATGTGTTCGGTCTGTGGCTGGGTTTTGTGAAACGCGTTGATGAATTTGATCAGTTTCCAATTGGGTGAAGTCCCAAATAGCAACACAAGTTTACACTATGGGTTTGCTCACATGGGATCATCTTTATAAGAGTTGTTCGTAAAAATGTCCCCGATTTTTATTCGACAGAGCCACTGTAAATCCTCCCGTCCCATGTAAAGTGTTGCGTACCATCGTACCAGCCGTTCCACAGAGCCCCTGTAAATTTTCCGTGCCCTTGTAGCTTCCCTGCCGTGTTAGCCCCATCTACGTATTCACAGTGCATTGCGGCTCTGGAAATAGAGTTTTTTTTTTCTTACAGAATTCGACAAAAAGTACTCCTCTCGTTATTTCCGTTGCCAGACCCCCTGCCATCGTCCTACCACGGTTTGTCAGATTCTACACGAGGCTTGCAGTTTGTGGAGGCCGAGGACGCCGCTCAAACGTTGTGACCTTCGGCCCTGGGCCGGAATGAGAGCCCCAAAGCAGTAGACTCACGCAAGTGGCAGAAGCGGCCGTACAGGCCCGGGTCGCACAGGCAGGCTCCGTAGATGCGGTGGCAGCGTCCGTTGTTGGCGCAGTTGCACTTCTTGTTGCACGCCTTTCCAAAGAAGCCCTTGGGACATCCTGTCCAGGGATGGGACAGATGCAGGGACACCGTATTCATTGCACGACGTTCGGACTGCGCTCGTGATTCAACTCTGTGCGTGAAAGAGAGCACGTGGGAGAATTAAGGGATTTAATAAGGCACGGAGGATGTGCATTGCACGTTCAAAAGCTCTCGGCCTTATTCATGTCCACGAGCTCAAGAGATCTGAATGTGTTGGGATTTGCTCATTTCCATCACGAACTCAAAGAGTAGAGAAAGTGAGGCCATCCTAGCAGGCAGCAGTGAAACAAGGACACAAATGGCAGCAGCAGCAGCAGCAGCGGTGGATGTTGATGACTGTATCGTACCGATGAGCTCTAAAGAGAGACGAAACTGATTCACATTGTTACACGATGATTGATTATTGTTGCAAAGTATGTTGTAAACCGATAATGCCGTGATGAAAAATGTTCAAAGGAAGGGAATTCCATTTCACACCCGAGGCTTAGGGAGTCGAGACATGGCATGAAGGAATGACAAACAAAAACTGACAAAAAAAATCCGCGTAGAATGTGGAAAAAGTCACTGATAAATTGACACGGCCAAAGTATTTTCACCTCGAATGAAATAAGAATGCCTTTTGCATTCCACGTTGGATACTTTTCTTATATATATAAAACATTCAGCAGAATGAGAAAATAAATTCTCAGCAGCAGCTGTCAGCATGCAGTGGCTTGAAATAAATAGACCTCGTAACTCTTGCCCTAGACTGGCAAAGATGGTCAGCACTTCGATACAATTGCATAGGTTTTCATCGAGATGATACCCAATATTTCACTACACGCCGTGGCGTGTTGGCAGAATAGTCAGTCCTCGTGCCAAACAACGTGGCACAACCAGAAAACAAATTGGAGAGAACACTTAAATATGTCTGTGTATCAATGTCCCACCTTTTAAGCGTGTGTCTCTCGATATGTTTTGCATGCCTAACGTTTTGTTCAATCTGAAAAATATCCCAGCACGTGGAGCAAAACGTTGGGACATCCTAAAACTAAACTGAAACTAAACAATTTTTATTTGACCAGATAAGTCCCACTGAGCTATATCGCTCCTTTTCAGAAGTGACCTGGCTACGAATGATACCTCAACGAAGTGGCATGTCACGTGCAAATTTACAGCAGCCAAATACTAAAATCGCACGTGGATTCGAAATGTGTAGGGAAAAACCGGAGGACCCGGAGAAAAATCCGCACGACCAGGCATCGTGGTCGGGATCGAATCCACGACCTCCCGCATACCAGGCGAGGTAGTTAACATTTCGCCACCGTGTCACCCCAACACATCCTGCCGAACAACACGCGTTGCAACCCGACGACACATCAAAGAGCCGTGGGTGGAAATGCGTCTGGGATGAACACTTCATACAGGGCAGTTATCTGTGAAGTGGGCAGCAGTTGGCAGATACAGTGGCTGGGAGGGGGGGTGGTGGATGATCGCCACTACTAACCGTCTTCACAAAGCTCGCCAGACACTCCGGGAGGGCAGCGACACTTCCCGCTGACGGGGTCACACGAGCCTCCATTCTGACACCTGCACTCACTCTGACAGTTGCTGCCAAACTTGCCCTCGGGACAAGCTGGGCACGGAAAACACAACAACGGAGACAACATAAATATGCAGCAATGCCAAGACGCGTCACGAAACTAAGTTGGTTAATGGTTTACTTGGACAACATATGTATGCAGCAATGCCAAGACGCGTCACGAAACTAAGTCGGTTAATGGTTTACTTGGACAACACATATATGCAGCAATGCCAAGACGCGTCACGAAACTAAGTCGGTTAATGGTTTACTTGGACAACACATGTATGCAGCAATGCCAAGATGCGTCACGAAACTAAGTTGGTTAATGGTTTACTTGGACAACACATATATGCAGCAATGCCAAGACGCGTCACGAAACTAAGTTGGTTAATGGTTTACTTGGACAACACATATATGCAGCAATGCCAAGACGCGTCACGAAACTAAGTTGGTTAATGGTTTGCTTGGACAACACATATATGCAGAAATGCCAAGACGCGTCACGAAACTAAGTTGGTTAATGGTTTACTTGGACAACATAAATATGCAGCAATGCCAAGACGCGTCACGAAACTAAGTTGGTTAATGGTTTACTTGGACAACATATGTATGCAGCAATGCCAAGACGCGTCACGAAACTAAGTCGGTTAATGGTTTACTTGGACAACACATATATGCAGCAATGCCAAGACGCGTCACGAAACTAAGTCGGTTAATGGTTTACTTGGAGAACACATGTATGCAGCAATGCCAAGATGCTTCACGAAACTAAGTTGGTTAATGGTTTACTTGGACAACACATATATGCAGCAATGCCAAGACGCGTCACGAAACTAAGTTGGTTAATGGTTTACTTGGACAACACATATATGCAGCAATGCCAAGACGCGTCACGAAACTAAGTTGGTTAATGGTTTGCTTGGACAACACATATATGCAGAAATGACAAGACGCGTCACGAAACTAAGTTGGTTAATGGTTTACTTGGACAACATAAATATGCAGCAATGCCAAGACGCGTCACGAAACTAAGTTGGTTAATGGTTTGCTTGGACAACATAAATATGCAGCAATGTCAAGACGCGTCACGAAACTAAGTTGGTTAATGGTTTACTTGGACAACATATGTATGCAGCAATGCCAAGACGCGTCACGAAACTAAGTCGGTTAATGGTTTACTTGGAAGCGTTTGCATCAACCAGACGTACTGCACGGCAGATTTATATATGTTTTATTATGACGCCGTTGATTAACGTAACAATGTGTAGCATGCTCGCAGTGTGGTTATATTTAACATCAATTGAAACCAAACGTGTGATGAATGTGTGTACACTCGCGCTAGGAGTTACATTTGAGTTGCTCTGATGGATTACGTGTGAAACATCTTTCCAGGCTTATGTTTTCATTTTCATGCAGGCCGACACCAAAACAGTGGAAAAGTAGGGCAAAGTTGATTTGACTTTTAGCCTTAAGAAAAATATTTGGGCACGGTATGCTATGCATCGAAAATGAATAGAGGCACACACAAAGACATGCTTCAGATGCACGTAGACATTGTTACCATTCGGCAAGGAAAGCGTTGGGGATAGTGAAGGTATGAAAACACTGATGAAGAATGATAATATCGTTTCTGTGTGCCGGTCGTTTTTTGCCCCCTTAAAATATCTATATATTTTTTTTTTTAAGTTAAAGAAACGATGCAAATGTGTCAGTTTTTTTAGATCAGGTAGATCAAATTTAGCAATCTTATGAAGTTATCTTAGAGGGATATTTGAAGTGTTCAGATAGCGTGCTCGAGGTTTGTAAATAACAAATAAACAAATGTGTGCAGTTGCGATGTACTCGTACCAAACTATATTTTTGTATCTTCTTGGTTCTTTCGGTAAAGTCACGTAGAAGGGAAATAATAAAATATAATAAAATATTTTTACCGAAAGAACCAAGAAGATGAATCCCTGCAGTCACGAAAGCTTTAAATCGAAATTAATATTTTTGTAATGAGATCAAAGTTGCCAGCAACTATTTTAGAGGTGACCCGCGCCCGAATTGCTTCGTTTGAGCAGGGAGACGCGCCTGAATCAACATGAATGTAAACGTCTGTACAACGTCTGTACAACGTCTGTACAACGTTAACGGGCCACTGCTGCTGTGGTGTCGTGGTTATGGCACTGAACTTGCAAATCCGGAGGTCGCGAGTTCATTTCCCCGAGGTGGGCATTTGGGACAATGGGCGCGAGTTGATGAAAATAAAATAAAGGATGTACCCTTTATGAGCAAAAATACAGGTGTTAACATGGTCAAAACCCAAGAGACAGCTATTGTGTTAAATGCAAATAAATACGCTTTGATAACAATTGTGCTTGAGACCGATTGGCCCTTGTCTCTCCACTGGCAATCGACCAAAAAACACCACCAGGTAAACAGTGCGAGAACGATCCAAACGCCAAAGCATTAACAGCTCGCGTTAAGCAGTTAAATCAATGCCCTGTACTCGTGCGCGTGTGTGTGTATATATATTCGGATCACCGGCTGCACAACATTATTGGCGACGTGCAATCGGCGCGTACTTTCGTTGCACACGAGGCCCGTCCATCCGGCGAGGCAGTCGCATCCGTCCTGCCCCTCGTTGCAGCCGCCGCCGTTGCGGCAGTCGGAGCACGAGAGGCTGCAGTCGTGACCGAACGTCTCGCCCAGGCAAACTGCGAAGAGACGCCACGTCGCAAAAGGGACCCGCGCGCGCGGTCGGTGCCATGGGTTCAGCCAGAGGACGCGGCTCGTAAAAAATATAACAAAAAGTCGAATCTCTCGGCTTGTGAATCACGGGCACGCGTGTTGCGGAACGAATAACAAGCAGCGAGACGCACACTCGCCTGGGCCAGGATAAGTCTCGGGAAAATATACTTTGCTGTTGCCTAGCGTAGCGCAATTGTCTTTCCTGCTCTCGCTGAGCACGTAGGGTCCTCCTCCTAATCGGGTGTGTTTCTTTATTTTACTTGCAGCAACAACAACAAGAACGAATGAACAGCTCTTTGTGAAAGAATGTCGATCATAGGGGGGAGGTGTAGAGGGGGATCATACTTCACCATAATGGTCAGTGCAGGTTGGTGAATGGGGCCGAGGGTTTAGGGGTATGAGGAAGGGCTGGAATGTTCACATTTCACTCGCCACTGATGTTTGCCGTTGCCAGGAAAAATAACATTAATTACTTTTATTTTAACAGGGAAGGCCCACTGAGCTATAAAAAAAAACTTTTGTTTTAGATGCTACCTGGCCACAAATAATAGCCCAATGAAGTGGCTTATTACAAGTAAATTCATAGCAGCCAAATACTGTAAGGAATCGAACGCAAGTTTTCCTGTTTCACAATACATTGCATTAACACCACAATAGCACTACCCCTTAAAACCATTATCACGATAATAATTATACGAAGCATATGGGAGGTGGGAAACACAAACATTTGCGCTAAGTACACAGTGTTTGCTTTGCCTTGGAATACAAGGCTTTAAAATTTTCGTCTTATTTCTTGTCAAGCGTCGCAACATGTTGCATTTAGCTTTGAAGTATTTTGCGTCGCAATTTCCACCTTTAAATTTCCCTTTAAGAATGCTCTTTTCAGTGCATAGCTCAATGATAACAACGTATCATTTGAATTGCACCTCCACTCTCTCTCTCTATCCCCTCTCCGTCCCTCTCCCACCGAGAGCAGCACCCACTGAATTTCTGGACGAGCGTGTGCTCCTGGCGTCGATGCTCCTGGGGTCCATAATCGAGGAAATCGTCACCCTCCTCCTCCTCCTCGTCGCTGCCCCCCTCGCGGTACTCGCTGGCCTCTGCGTCCCCGAAGGCCCCCCACTCGGCCTCCTCGCGCGGCACCCACTGGTAGGTCTGCTCGACAGGACGCAGGCGCACGGTGCTGCCCAGCCACGTCTGCCCACGCAGCTCCTCCGTGCCCTGCTCTTCCGTGGCCCCCTCCAGAGCTGGAGAAGCGCACACACAAAGGACCTCGCTTGCACGGCCGTGCATGTGTACGCACACTCACAGAGGATCTCACTTGCAGGGATATACATGTGTGTGCATGCATACACAGAGGATCTCACTGGCAGGGATGTGCATGTGTGTGCATGCATACACAGAGGATCTCACTGGCAGGGATGTGCATGTGTGTGCATGCATACACAGAAGATCTCACTGGCAGGGATGTACATGTGTGTGCAAGCATACACAGAGGATCTCACTTGCAGGGATATACATGTGTGTGCATGCACACACAGAGGATCTCACTTGCAGAGCCGTGCATGTACACACAGAGGATCTCTCTAGCAGAGCCGTGCATGCACACACAGAGGATTTCACTTACAGAGCCGTGCATGCACACACAGAGGATATCACATGCAGAGCCGTGCATGTACACACAGAGGATCTCTCTAGCAGAGCCGTGCATGCACACACAGAGGATCTCACTTGCAGAGCCGTGCATGCACACACAGAGGATATCACATGCAGAGCCGTGCATGTGTACGCACACAGACGGAGGATCTCACTTGCAGGGATGTTGCATGTGAACACGTGCACACAGACACAGATGCCCAAAGTCTAGCTTCACTGAGTGGATGGGGAAGTGTTGCTCTGCATTGTGTTGTGTATTACACCGAGTGTTGTTCAGCATAGTTTGCTTTTGCGTTATTAATTTTTTATTGTATATTTATCCAGATTTGTTTCAATTTATTGTCTGTCGTCGCAAGCCCAGAGCCTGGAAGCGAACCTAATCTCAGGCCTTCCCTAGTCTGTAAACACTCGGTTGTTGTTGTTGTGGTGTCATGATGAGCAATGGGGGTGGGGGGGGTGACACGGTGCTGGCGAGCGGCACTTGTCAGAACAGTAAAACATTAAATGATGGATCACAGTCTTTTGACTTTCATAAACATTATAAGTATTATTTATAATGGGTATTAATTCGCGCAATAATTCAAATTTATAATGCGCATTTGTACGTAGTTATACACGCGTATAATTGCAGACCCAACACCAGCTGGTGAAGCAATACCCTTTAGTAATGCCGCACAACCGAGGCTTAAAGTGATTACACGTAACACGTTAGCTCTGTCCATTTGTCATCGTTTCAGCTGCAGGTTTGTGATGAGTTAGGCCTTTTGGTGTTCTCTGCTGAGGCTAGGCCATAAAAAAAATAACCCGTAAAAACAAAGTTTTTCACTATAAATACTTTATATGCGTGGCGGCTAGAGTCCTCTCGTCCTCTGGCTTGAGATGGCTGCCACCTATGGGTCAGATGATTGCCTGCCACCATTAAGCAATTGGTAATTAAATATAAAAATAAATTTTCCTAAAATTTTGAAAATTTTGGAGAAAACAAATTCACGAAAATAAATTGTCACGCACAACGAGTCTGTGTGCAAAATGGGTTAAAAAACGACCGAAAGATTTGCACGGTCGTAAGCGCGCAAGCAAGCAAGCAAACTTAATATAAAGGATTTAAAAAGGCTGTCTCTAGTGTAGGCCAATCGGTTTCAAATACAATGCCACATATTGTCAGAGCGTGTTTTTTGCCTTGAAAATGGTATCTATTTGGGGTTTGAACATCTCGACACCTGTTTTATTGCCAGAAAGGTTAAAACCTATTCTTATTTTTCATGAACAAACCTGCAGGATTAAGTTTTGTTTCTCTTTGGAACTCGCCCTGTGGTAGAATGGCCTGTGACCCCCTTCAACAGAGCCGCAATCAGCTGTGCGATAGCTGCCTACGGTTATCGCCAATTAAATGTTTCAGAGGATGAACGCTGGAAAGCGTTACAGAAGCCATTGCGTGTGCATCGTTTTTTTCTTCCTTGTTTTTAAGTATTATATTCCGAGCATATCCTTATCGTAAACTAACACTTTGCAGCACTGTAAATAATTGCACGAGCTCAGAGGCCACTAAACACAATGGTAGTTTTATCGGTTAGATACTTGCACTGTTACTTGACACGATATCTAATGGCAGTGTGTGATATTGCTGGTAATTTAGCAACCTCATTACTGGGCTTAGGGCTGAATGTTCATAAATAACTTCAATGGCCTCTGAAGTGCTGCACAAAGACAAAGATCTCCCGTATAGCTGCAATAGAATGTTGGGGCAAGTGCTGTTAGCGAGCGTCTAATGAACCTCGCGACAGCACACGTAGGGGTGGGTTGGCCAGGTACTCTTTTGAGGCTGATTCGACCTAGCGGAGGCCCAGGACCAGATATACAATTCTAGATTTTTCTTTTTTTCTTTTACCAGGCAAGGTCCACTGAGCAATGTAGCGCATTTTGTGAAACGCCCTGGCCACAAATGATAGCTCAACGAAGTGGCTTATCACGGGGAAATTGATATCAGCCAAATCCTCTAAACTCGTGTTGATTCCAAATGTGGACCTGGAGAAAAATAAACACCACCACGGGGAGAGAGAACATAAAAACTGCAAATATACAGGTGCCAGGAACGGGGATCGAACCCCACCAGGCGAGGGAGGTAAAATCCCGTCACCGAGTTGGCAGCTCAAGCTGTCACCACCAGCCACGCCGCCGCTTGCCGCACGCACAGAGACACGCGTGGCAACGCTCAGGGCGGCATGGAGAGAAAAACGTGGGGGGGGGGGGGGGGGGGGCGGAGGGGGTGCCTGAGCGTGTGAAGGGGCCTTACGGATGCATCCCCTCCGCTCCTCATCCAGGCGGAAGCCCCTGCGGCACGAGCACTCGTAAGAGCCCTCATTGTTGCGGCACAGCTGTTCACAGCCCCCGTTTTCCGCAAGGCACTCGTCCACATCTGCGAACCAAAAAAGAAAAACAACGGACGAACGGGTCTTGTTTTTTTTTTCAGTTTGCTTTATAGAGATACTCTAAGAATTAAACTTCATAATGTACAGTGCCGCCAGCATGGGGATATATATATATTCTAGATTTGAAGCTTAGGTTTTTTCGGTAAAGTCACGTAGGTAAAAATTTAAAATTAATAAAAGTAAATTAAAATAAAAATCACGACGTTTCGGAGGCAACACAAGCTTCCGTCTTCAGGTGGAACCGTCACAGCCCGACAGCTGTCGGTGGATGGGAAAGCCAGGCGACTGGTTCAGGTATCGCTCATTCCACTGATGTTTAGTCATGATGGAGAATTGAACTCTCGTGACTCGCAATCAGAAGGATGAGAATTCAACGGTTGACACAATAATGTCTGATCGATAACATCTCATGATCCCTCTAGAGTCAATAAATTGTATTCCACTTATTTTAAAAGTCGGCCACGGTGGTCCTATGGACAGACTTGCCTCCAACATGCGAATATTGAATTTCCACCTCTGGTTTAGGACCATCAGTAAGGATGAGTACCACTTAATTGCTCATTCAGGAAAAAAATGTCCGTAAATAATGCAATATCATAGCAAATAATAGCATGAAAAATAATAGCCATTGTTACGATAGCCATAATCCAATTAAATTGTGGAAGTAATCTATATTTTCTCTCAAATTCCGTAAGTATTTATTTTAGCGCAAAACTGTTCAACTCTGTGTCAGACGTGTGCCATGGGCACACGCAATTAGCCCCAAAAATGATTCCATATTTTAAAAATCTCAAACGCGACTACGAGTGGGGTCTGATTGAACGCGTTTAATGCATCAAACCACACCGAAGATTAGGACCAGCTGCACAGCGCAGACTCGGTCATTAGGGCCATTGTAAGCACTGAGAGGCCCGAAGGCTTTGGAACACCAATATATTTTCGAGCAACAGCAAAGAAGGCCTGCAACGGCGCATTCCTGAACGTGCCCATTACCCCAAACCGTGTTGTAACAATCTATAGTTTTCCCCGCCGTGAACATTTTTCTCATGATTCTGCGACCTAGCGAGAGACGCCGTTCAGACTGAGACAATAAACTCCGGTGGGCTAAACTCACCCGCTCTTTTGTAATCGCTTCCCTGGCTGGGGGGAATCTGCAACGGTTGCAGAGTGAGGACGTTTTTCATTCTGCCGCTGCTGCACACAGAGCGTTTCGGCCAACGCTTAATGGTCGCCGAAATCGTTTTTTTTATTTATCCTTACTCGTGGTAAAAATCAAGACTGTGGCGTTGCGAAAAGTTGGAGGCACGCCAGCGGCGGTCGGCAACGAGACTGCGCGAGCCGCGAGCTCGCAATCGGGGCAGCGTGCAAGTCGCATTCGCGAGGCTTAATCGATCGCGCTCGAGCTCTTGAAAATAATTCTGGGGCGCTGCATTGTGAATGTGTTCGCTTGGTTGGTAGCTGCGTCGGATTAAGTGTTCACGAAGCTCGGAGACTCATTAGTAAATCGCGATAGCTTCGTGAAACCAGAGCTATTAGCCGAGCGGATATTCACGAAGACTGCCCTCTATTAGTATCGCGCTGTCGCAGAATAACAATGAGAAGGTTCTGCGAATTCAAATCGTGGTTGTGGGTTGAACGAGACTAGCATCCCTACAGGGTCGATATAATCGGTACCATGTTCATCATCATCATCATCATTTTTGTCCATGATAAGTCCACTGCTGGATGAGGGCCTCCCCAAATCATCGTCCATCTTTCAAAGTGTCTGCACTTTAATAATCCATGGAGAGCACATGCTCTCGAGACGATTTCATTGCTCCATTTTCATTGTGCACGTGCTCTTGGACGCGTTCCAATCCTTGGCCGCATCTCCGTACAACATTTGCGGTGAGCCAATCGTGGCCATTGCAAGGAAAGACTTGGCCCCCTGACGTGGATGCGTGTAATTTTCACCCTTGTATCGGGACTCCCACCCTTAGGCTCGGCCGCTGTGAACAGGGATTACGAGCGCACAGCCTCATCAATGGACGTGTGCCCGTCGTGAGACGGAGAGGTGGCGATCGTTACCGTCACAGTTGCATCCGTCGAGGCTGACGCGGTAGCCGGCGCGGCAGCCGCACTCGTAGCCTCCGGCGTTGTTGCTGCAGAACTGCGCGCAGCAGGAACCGCCCTCGGAGCACTCGTCGGTGTCTGTAAGTGAGCAGCAGCACAGGCAAGCGACGGAGCGGCATCACTCGTCACACGTCGGCGATCGTCAGCGTGTTATAGCAGCTGCCGAATGTAAGCGGCTTTCACCAGGTTCTCAATGCATGTTTTATTCCCGACGCGTCACTGCGCCTCAATATTAGCCGGGGCTATTTCCCCTCGCCTGGTATACAAGAGGTGGTGGGTTCAATCCTGACCCTGATGCCAGTATATCTGCAGCATGCGTGTTCTCACTCCCCGTGGTCGCGTAGAGTTTTCTCCAGATCCTGCCGTTTTTCCCTCCACGTTTAGAAACACGCGTTTAGAGTATTTGGACGCGATATTTTTCCACGTGATAAGCCACTTCGTTGAGCTATGATTTGTGGCCAGGTCACTTCTTAAAAAATGAGCTATATCGCTCAGTGGGCCTTACCTCGTATGAAACAAAAAATAGTTCAGCTGAGTTTACCGTTACTCATATTAGGCAAGGTACTGCTTCTGTGGCTGCATAATGGTCACCGGTCCGATCTGCCAGTGTCACAGTTGAAACAATGGGATGCAGGTTTCTTAAATGCATCCCCTGCTTCCTGACCTCTGTCCACCCTGCGATACTCATGGGTTCACCATCGGCAGGTTGTTCGGCTAGTCACGTGTGGTGGAGTAAAATCCCGGTCACTCCCTACCCATTCCAAGACGTCTGTCCAGCATTGGAAAAGTTAGGCCTAAATTGCCCTCCGGAGAGGCTACCTTGATGTTCCCTGTAATGGAGGCCCTCCCTGCCAACAGTGTCATGGGCAGGGTTGCACCTTTACCTGCATCTATTTCTGTGGTGCCTCGGCCAAACGTCCCTCTGGGCTCATGATGTCATTGAGTCACAATTTTTTGCGTGTAAATCAACGGTGTTTTTGCCATGCGGACACAACGGCCTCCAGACGTAGCACATGTAGGATCCCCGCTCCTGGCTCGGGCCCAGCAATGGAGATGGGACGCCCGGCCGGCCGTTACTCTTTGGAGCGTGGAGACGCTTTTGTTTTGCATGTGCCCAATTGAGATGCATGCAGACCAGCGGCTAGGTGGTAGGTCTGGCGGGTCACAATCAAAATGTTATTGCACTTAAGCAATCATCCAAAGCAGCCAAGTAGGTAGTACAGCAAGTAGGTGGCTGACATATCCCGTCGCGACGCTTTTGTGTTCCTTCCCCACGGATGCGTGGGCCTTCTCAGTGGTCACTCTGGTTTCCCTCCCGCGCGCTACAAAGGTGTACCAGTTCCTCGCGGGTTAACCAAATACGTGTTTTCTCGCCGATGCACGTAAGTCCGTGCCTATGCTGATCGTTCTGTTCCTGTAGCGTGGCAATGTGTGTCTAGGTGCCCACAGAGGGTGGTGCTGTTTGTTGGCTGTTGCAGCAGCAGTAGCCACAAGTGTGGATGGCACCCCCCCACCCCTTTCGATCAATGCAGACTCCACGCAGAGCCAGGCACTTTCGCCCCAGTCACAGCGCAAACAGGCACAAGCCAAAGTGTGCTCTCATTGTAGCGAAAACACCACTCCAGATTTTGTGGATTGCAGATCGCCTAGATTTGATTTTGGTCATTGTCATTTGTAACAACGCAAATATGGGTGTTGTTTTCAAGATTGGCAAATCCGGTTGGGTTTTAATGTCTGTTTGATGAATGGATATGAACCTCTGAGTGTGAACTGTTTGAAATGCAATATTTGGCATAATCTACGTCGATTAATATAATGCCCGTGTAATAATGTTAATGTGAAAACATTTTATATATTAATCTTTCAAATGTATTTATTATTACTGTTATTGGGTTCTCTGAATTATAGTTTGATTATGGTTCCTTACCCTTAATCTTGAATAATGGCCAATGAAATAAATATTATATATATGCCACACATTTTATAGCTTTTAGCATGCAATACTTTACATTTATGTCATTGATTTTAAAATCAACAAAGTGGGTTCAAAATATACGTAACGTAATTACTACCTATGAAAAAAAAAGGGCGGTTAACGTTCAAATGCAAATGATGTGTGCGTGAGCACAACAGCAAGTGAGGAGCAGAAGCGTGAGGGTTAACACGTTGCACTACAAACCCGACGACCCGAGTTCGATACCCGCTCAGGGTCAACAACAGATTATCTGAACCGGTTATGGCACTCCCCTAGGTCGACTCGGCCTCAAACGAGTACCTGGTGCTGTGTGTAAACATCGCCACTTGGTAGACAAAGGCGGACAGGTATGGTGTTGGCCACCCACCCCCCCCCCCCCCCCCATGTGCCGTGCTTGCCTTCATAGGTGCTCGCTAACAGCACTAGCCCCGACAGTCTGTGAAGGCTATACGGGGGATCTTTGTCTTTGCACAAGAGCAAGGAGAGCACTGCTTGGCTGAAACACAAGTTAGCACTCTGGAGTGTGCACTAACCCTCCTGTTAACCCATAGCCTCTGGGTCTGTCCAGTTACCTCCTACCGGCGAGCATTCACCACTTGACTTAGCCTAAAAGTGCGACTGAGCTTGGCATGAGTGCCGCAAAAAATGTCTCCGCCAGGAGCAGTTTTTTTTTTTTGCATGTACGTGAGCAAAATTATTCAAGAGTTTGTGTGCATACTAAATCGCTGGAATATAACAAAGGTTTTATGAATATATTACGATGGCTTCTTACATTCACGATACCACGGTATGGAATATGAATCGATTATTTATGATTCACGCAAAGTATGCGCTAACGGGGATGATAGTGATACGTTAAGGCTGAAAGGATGAATAAAAATGGGGCCGAAGACAATTTAGAAACGAGAAAAAACGAGACAAAAAACCCAGAACATTTTGTCATCGATCATCAAATCGAATCGCAAACCTTGAACGGTGGAGGCGAACCGTGACCACGCTTGCCGGAAGCCTTCTCTTTGTAAACGCTCTGCCAGGGGGTGCATTATCACGCCACGGCGCTCGTACGCGCTTGCAGGATCAACGGAGGGCGGAACGGCGAGGGTACCTTTGCACGTCTTGCCGTCCACGTCCAGGTGAAAGCCGCTGTCACAGAGGCAGCGTGGCCCCTGCGTCGCGTGCTGGCACGTGTGCGAGCAGCCGCCGTTGTCTTTCTCGCAGCTGTTCACGATCTCCATCTCGATGCCTGCTCATGCACGGGCGCGCACGCACACGCACGCACACGCGTGCACAGGGCTGTGTGTGAGCCAGGGGCGGTTGCAATGAAATCGGTGGCGGCTCCACTCGCTGAACCTTCTGCGGCAGGCTTTGCAGGCTTTTTAGTTTGAGCCCGTTGCGCAGTGGCGGCGGTTGCGAGGAAGCGTCGGATTGAATTTCACTCCGCGCATGCGGTGGCTATGCAAATCGCAACACTCTCAATGCCACGGCTGGAAAATTCCAGCGACGATGCTCTGTGTTTGTGGAAAAGTTGTTAAGGTGGTACATTTATAAAATATTTGTTTGATTTTTATTTCCCCCACACCCCGTTTCTCTCTGTCGATCTTAGTGGGATACCTGAAACACAGGATGAAAGTATTCAGGCACTTGATGTTGTACGTTTTTAAGAGGGATTGGGATGTTTTGTGCTTGTGGAATAGAACTGATGATCGTCGTGTCCTTGTGGGCTTGCGGTGTTATAACGTTATGCGAACGTCACGTACTTTCGTTATCATTTACAGCAGTGGTTCTTAACCTTTATTGCAGCATTGCACCCCTTTGGTTCTCAATGGTTAAACTAAAACATATATATGTAATGTTAATAAATACGTAGTTTTGATGAAACCAAGTACTTGCAATTACGTGCCCGTGCTTAATTTGTGTTTTAATTATTTTTCTTTCTAAAAAAAAATCTGGCCATGTCTCGCACCCCCAGAAAGGGAATCTCGCACTACCAGGGGGTGCGTCCACCCCAGGTTAGGAACCATTGATTTAGAGTATTTGGCTGCGAAACATTTCCACGCGATAAGCCACATCATTGGGCTATCATTCGTAGCCAGGTCGCTTCTGAAAAAGAGCTACATAGCTCAGTGGGCCTTACCTGGCAAAAAAAAAAAATTGTTTCGTGTTTTAAAGTCGGCGCTATCTAAAAAATGCTACTCGATTTCAAATGCATAGCCAACGAGATGCAACATTTTATCCAGCCTGAGCATTGTAATATCAGTTTAAATTATTGAGCACTATTGATTTAAGATGTGCAATGCAATGAGGAGCCATGACCTGTGGCCAAAGATTGAAATCGTGAAGAAAAGGGGATCCTCGCCAACGCGATGCATATCCATGCAAATTAGAAAAGTGGCAGCTGTAATGTGTGGGACGTGGTCTGGAGTCGGGTGACTATTACGGTGGCTCCACCCCCAGCCGTGACCCACGTAATTGTTTTCATGCCCAGCCAAGAAGCCATCCTTGCATTTTCAAGCGGAGCTCCGTCGCCTTCATTACGTCTGCCCCAAACGAGCGTGACCCCAATTTTAATGTTACGCGACGCTTATATTTTTTTACAATCGGGGCTCGAATTCGGTCCTCCAATTATTGTTGCATTTATCAGTTGCGCAGCAGTATCCGTTGCCTGCGTGTTCACAAACTTGCAGCCCTGTGAACATCTGTAGGGTTCATATGTTAACTGTGGGATCGATTAATGGACTAATGTGGCTTTCTTAAGCTCGTGCAAGCACGCTCGTGATCGCAAGGGTGGGAATCAAGTTTGTTTTTTTCAATTGCTACGTTTTTTTCTTCTTGGTTGTTTCGGTAAAGTCACGTAGAAGGGAAGTAATAAAATAATAAAAATAAAACATAATTAAATAATTCTCACGACGTTTCGGCCACAACGCAAGTAGCCGTCCTCAGGTGAAACCAGGCCTGTCGAGGCGACAGCGTCTGAATGAAACAGCACACGTGCTTGGAGCATATAAAAATTGCTACGTTGTTTACAATGGGCTTATGTCAACACTGTAGCCGCGGGTGGTGCTGCCATTCAACGTGATAAAAAAAAAATCTTGCATTGAATTTCAACCCTGAATTGTTACAATTTCATGGTAGGGTAAATCGTTGGACCACTGACGTATATGTCTGTGTGTGTGTGTATGGGGAGCGGTGGTGCAGTGGTTAGCACGCTGCGCTACGAACCCGGCGACCCGGGTTAAATTCCCGCTCATGGTAAAAAACCAGTGACGATGATCTGAATCGGTCCTGGGCCTTCCCTAGGTCGACTCGGCCTCAAATGAATACCTGGTACTGTGTGTAAACATTGCCGCTGAGGAGACAAATGGTGCGGTGTTGGCCACTCACCCCCTCGTGTGCCGTGCCAGACTTCATAGGTACTCGCTATAACAGCACTTGCCCCTAAAGTCTGTTAAGTCTTTGTATGGGCTCCATTGTATTGTGGCAGCTATAATGATGCATGCGTCTTATCTCCTTGTCAGTATATATAGGTGGCACAACCCTGCAATCGCTTGCTCAAGCCTATGCTGGTGTAAGGGCCTCTACTATTGAAAGCCCATGTCTAGAGTATTTGGCCTACTCTTGCACGCTGTTCAAAAGTCTTGGAAGAGGTGGGAGGACACCCACACGTCACTCCACCCCAGACGACATGCCAACCGACGACTGACCGTGGTGCATAGGTGAATTTAATAAACTTGCCCATTCTTTCTGCTGCTTCTGCTGCTGTGCCAGGAGACCGCATTGAACCGGCGGCCTCTGGATTGCAAGTAAAAAGTGTGCCAACAATTCCACCGGCCGGCAGCATCCATATATGCATACATGCAAACAAACAAAGATCCCCCGTATAGCCTTAACAGACTCTAGGGGCAAGTACTGTTAGCGAGCACCTATGAAGGCCGGAACGGTACACGAGGGGGTGGGTGGCCAGCACCACGCCCGACCGCCTTTGTCTCCCCAGTGGCGATGTTTACACACCGCATCGGGTACTCATTTGAGGCTGAGTCGACCTAGGGGAGGCCCAGGACCGGTTCCGATAATCGTCACTGGTGTTGGCCGTGAGCGGGAATCGAACCCGTGTCGCCAGGTTGATAGCGCAGCGCGCTAACCACTACACTACCGCTCCCCACTATACAAACACACACATACACACACACACGCGTTCACACGCGCAAATATACCGTTACAAACACTTACGGTAGCATTGCTTCCCATCGGAGCCCAACTCGTAGCCGGGGTTGCACTGGCAGACGAAGGAGCCCCTCGTGTTGCGGCAGCTATGCGCGCACATGCTGCTCTCCAGATCGCACTCGTCAATGTCTGCAAATGAACCGGCACGGAGCGACGGCAGCCGCCTCGATTACGGGGCCCGGCGGCGACTTTGGGGCGGAGGGGAGGGGAGGTGTGCATAGCAAAGCACTGCGAGGATCGTACGCAGGGAGCGCGTGTCAAAACCGATGGCATTTCGAGCGTCTTTCGTCGCGGCAGGCCTCGCGACGACGGAAGGTGTGTTGGGAGTGTGACGCGTGCTTTCGCTTGCGTTTTGTTTGATCTACGCTCTGCTCGTAAGTGATTGCAAATGTTTGCATGTTCATTTCACACATGCAGACACCTGCAGCATTTTCACTTGTTAAATATTGACGTTATTATTATTATTATGAGCTGTGTGTATATAAAAAAACGGTGTAATTAATAATGAATTTGCATGCACACATGAGCACGCGAGAAATATATTAAAAATATATTATATTTTGGGGAAAGCGCCATGTGACGCACTTTAAAATTATCCTCACGTTTCTGTAATCGACACGTTGTACCAGAATCTCGTTTCAGGCTGAGCTGACTTAGAATGTGGCCACCTCACTTATCGGTCTTCTCTCGTACAGGTGGGGAGTTGAACATAAATGTTTTACGTGGCCTGGTGAATATCTGAAATGCTGGCGGCAAACGATCCAAGGGGGTGGTGTTGTTATTATAATAATAATAGTGATGACAATGGTGTTGTCGTGCATTCCACAGTTTGGGGATTGGTGACCGCAAGTCATAACTTTGCGCGATTCTCAATTTTCCATCGGTTCAATGCAGACCATTGTTTACGAGCCTGGGATGTTACTGGGAGAAGAGCGACAACGTGATTGGTCGATAATGTGCAGCATCAAGCAAAGCCATGGGGCGTGTTGGATTGTGGTGTAGTGTTAAAACGGCCACACAAGCATATTCAGCAATGTTGTAATTTCCTCAGAATGTCTCTTGTCATAGACCAAGTGGTCTTCATGAATTTTCAGAGGGGGGGGGGGGGGTCACCACTTTCACCAATAAGACCTCATCAGTGTGAGGGCTGCCACACATAAAAAAAAACATTGGGGTTTGACAGCATGATAGGGGCGTTTTCACGTCTGTTGTGTATTGTCTGGAGCCGCACCAAAGACCACCAGAGGCTGCCAGTGGCCCACGGGCTTTGCAATGAAGAACACCGTGGAGGATCTCATATGGTGTTCGACCAGATGACGCCAAAAGGCCATATGAGACTAGGCTCTAAAGAAAGCTGTCTCTGGTGTGGATCAATCAGTTTCAAAGACAATGCATAAATTATCAGAGTATTGTTTTTTGTTTGCATTTGACTGCAAGTATTGTGGTTAATGTAAGCATGATTCCTTGCAAAAGGTGTGAGTTTTTGTCGCCAGAAAAAAAAGGGAAAAACAAAAAAATCAGTTCGAAAGCATTTAATTTTTAATCTAAATTCAACTCCTGGGCCATGCAAAAGCAGACGGTAGAAGAAGAAGACTAAACATGAGTCACTCACCATCACAACTCTTTTCATCAACACCCAACCGGTATCCAGGGTGACACAGACACTTGGCCACGCCACCGTCGCTGACGCACTTCTGCATGCAGCCTCCGTTCCGGTCCCCACAGGGATTCCTCACTGCAACGGACAAAGCTATACATAAATCCATGTTTGTAACGCGTTGCGAAATAGCAAATCGTACGAGGATTTGCTTCGTCTTCCGATTGTATGCATTTATGTTGAACTTCTTTCACACCATACGGAGCCAACCGTGCTAATCGGAGGTGCGGGGGGGGGAGGACAGCAAACATTAATACGGGCCTGCGATTTTCACAAGTATACATTTGTTTTTACCAACGCTGCATAATTAGGTTCTAATAGGTAACGGTGCAACCCTGCAAATGCCTTGCTGATGCCACTGCAGATACAAGGGTCTCCACTGGAGGAGCCTCTACTCGAGAAAGCCCCATCAAGGGGGTATTTGGCACTCTGTCGTGCTGCTGGAAGTGGTGAAAGTACCCACACTTTACCCCACTACCCTAAACCATTGCACCATTAAAGCTTCCCGAATCGATTCGATTGACTCTAAGTTATTATCAGAATGCAATGCCTCTATTCCCGTAATGCTGGAACAAACATAATGAATCACGTAGAAGCAATCGTGACGGTATTTACATTTGGTTTATCCCCTTAAATCTGCCGTATCGTTAATATTCAAAGTGGCTTCCCCTCTAAAGTGAGTATTTGGTGTGACTCATCTCATTTTGCGTGCCTGAACCTGTGATAGGGCCAAGTAACTCTATGGAACAATCAATGTTCTAATACTCTTTGGTTCTTTCGGTAAAGTCACGTAGGTGGAAGAAATATAACACTGGTCAACAAAAAAAAAAACATTTTTTTCTGGCCTGGACTTTTTGCAGCTGTTTTAGACTAATTTCAGGGTGCTGATTCCAAATCTGATCTCAGATTTGCTTTATCACATCTGATTTTTATGCTATCGGCATACCCCATTTTCATTGATTTTACCAGAAATTACTCTGTCACTTATGATTGCAAGTTGTTGCGAGTTAGTGACTGCTTTAGTGTTAAAATATGGTGCTGTATTTTTAGGATAGTGTGTTTATAATATCATTTTATGTAGATATCCAGATTTATATATTTTTCTTCTGCAGTTTTTATTGAAAATGCAATATTTGATATCTAAAAAAACTGATGTTATAGACAAAAACTGATGCCAGATTTGGAATCAGCACCCCAAAATTACCTTAAACCCTTTGGAATACCTTATGCCAGAAAAAGTGTGTTGACCAGTGTATAATAGATCACGAGGTTTCGATCGCAACACAAGCAACTGCCCTACGTCAGCAGTCCTACTGCTGTGTTTGTTTCACACCTGATGACGGTTGCTTGTGTTGCGATCGAAACGTCGTGATCCAATTTATTTTTTCTACCTACGTGACTTTACCGAAAGAACCAAAGAGTATGGATTCCTGCGGTCACGAAAGCTTCAAATCAAGAATGTTCTAATATGTAAACACAAAGCAAGTCAGAACGAAACAAACCGTCTCTTGTGTTGTAGATGAGTACATTGGCCGTGCGTTTCAGGCTGCATGACAAGTTTGAAGCTTCATTATGAAGACACAATTTTCCACGGAAATATTTATAGTTGCAGGAGTGACATAATTGTGGCATCACCGCCTTACTTTATAATAAAGTGTCGCAAAGTGACATCACTCTTAGCCCTGTTTCTTTCGTTAACATTTTATCTTTTACCCTCGTGAGTCAGCTCAGGACACTGTGATTGTAGGGGGCGGGGCAGAGTTGGTAAGACAATAGTTTAGTTATTGGTTGTCTGCATCTGTATAAGCAGAAAATTAAAACAATTGTATAAAACGTGCTCTAGCTCTTGCTGTGGATTTCACACCTGATGATGATTGCTTGGGTTGCAGTCGAAACGTCGTGAGAAATTTTATTGTTCTATACTTTTTTATTTTTTTATTTCCCTTTTACGTGACTTTACTGAAAGAACCAAGAATATGAATATTTTAAGAGATGCAAATTAAAGGAGGGGTATTGTCCGAATGCCAGCCAACTATGAAGGTGACGACGCAGCCTCGGCAATTGCGGGTCTCACCACTGCTGGCAAAAGAGCTCCCTCGTGATAGTGTTCTTGACCGACTCTTACAAGCTGCTCAGTCACATTTGGTGAGGTTAGAGAACCTACACTTCACCCCCACTCTACTGCCGATGGGCTAACTGTGGTGCACACGTGTATGCTGATGTGTATAATTAATTATACCGGCATACAACACCGGTATAATTCATTATACGTTTTTTTTCCGGTTAAAAGCTCATTTGATCAGCCACGAGACTGAATGGCTCCAGTTCTGCCATCACCATCGCCCTCAGCAGGGTCCGCTAATGCTCCCCCGACCTCCCCCCCACCCCAGATTCTTGAAGCAGGTGCTCAGTTAAAACGTAAGCACTTTTGTACTTAATGCCCGCATTGCTGTTTGCTCAGCATTAAGCGGGGAGCGGTGGGGGCGGACGGGCCTGGAAGTTGTCTCCAATTACTCCAAACACACAGGGCAAAGTGCTGCCTCGGCCCGCGGATTGATCCCGGCGCGAAGACGCTTTAAACTTGAACACTGACAGTCGCGTGACAGGCAACTCCTGCCTCGAGACGTTGTTAGAAGACGAAAATCCTCTTTTAGGAGAGGGGGGGGGAATGTGAGCAGTAACTATTTATTTGATAACGATCTGAAGATATATTTAGTGGATGAGGAAATGTTCGCCAAGCTGTAGGAGTGCGTCTCCTGTGTTTAAGGTTGGCTTTTGGGTGTGATGGAATTCTCTTTGGATTTTGCAACAACAACAATTGTTATTGGACCTATTGACGGTAAAACACCTAAGCTGTGTTCTGCAAGCCAAATTAAAATTATTAAAAGATGTTTATCTTCGTTGGATATCACCCACAAAACACATTTCAATAAAGCAAATAGCATGAGAGAATGATTACGCTAAAACGATCGCATGTTACAGCGCATTCAATTTGTACGAATGTGTGCAGATGTGTGCACAACGAGTCTCAGGGGATGTCCGCTGAGGGGACATCCCGTTTGCTCCTCAAATCGGCTCGTGTGCGGGCGCCCGGTGGGTTAATGCTTCGCAGGATCACCGGGCCGCCTCGGAGACGGCCCTTTTATCCAGCAGTGGATCGATGGCCAATATCGATGGCCAGAGAGAGGTGGGGGGGCTCGCTTACGTTCGCAGTGCTTCCCATCTTCCTTGAGGCGGAAGTTGTGGCGGCACCTGCACTGGTGCTGCCCCCCTCCCAGCTGCACGCAGTCGTGCTCGCAGCCGCCCTTGTTCACCGCACAGGAGTGCACCGCTGCCAGGGCACAACAACAGCAGCAGCAGCAGCAGCAAGCAGCGAATGGTTAATAAACACACATGCTAAAATCACCCATCCCCCCCCCCCCCCCCACATAGCCTTAAAAATTAAAACTAAAGAATAGTCCTTAACCCGTTCCGGCAATGAAACCGGCGTTAAGATGTCCAAACAATAAATAGACACACACCTATACTAATAGGGGTTTTCCCCTTTTTTCTGGCAACAAAACTGACTCCTTTTGCAAGGAATCATGTTTACATTAACCACAATACTTGCAGTCAAAATGCAAACAAAAAAAACAATACTCTGATAATGTATACATTGTCTTTGAAACGCATTGGTCCACACCAGGCAGGTTTTCTTAGAGCCTAGGACAATGCATAAATTCAGAGTATTGTTTTTTTTGCATTTTGACTGCAAGTCAGTTTTGTTGCCAAAATGGGAAAAACCCTATTAGTGTATTTTGGTACTGGCAAAGGAAGCCTCGTGATGATGAAGACACACACCTATTTGAAGGCATCAAGTCTGCAGTAACCGCACGTACGTGTGGCAAAACATGGCAACACACATGCTCTGGTGATACATGAATTGTCAGTTTAGATTATGTTTAAAAAAATACAGTTCAGCACGGGTCAGTTATACAATACACCAGTTGATATAACGTGAGAAACCATAACATTGCTTCATATATTGTAATAAGCCTCTCAAAATATTTGTACTTATGCCCACCCCACCGTCTGTATTTCATCCGTTTAACTTCTTCCCAGACGAGGCTACACCCGGACACAGCCCACTTCACACAGTCCTACCAAGAAATTGGTGTATGTGCAGAACGCCTAAGTACCCCTATCCCATATGAACTCTACTCGTTGCACTGTTATGACTTGCCAAGTCCGGATGTACCGCCTGCTTTTTTTGTGCTTACATAAAACATATTTCACGTGCTTTATATATATAGTAATTCTAAAGGTAGGTAATGAGCACATTTGGTTTACGAATTTAACGTAAAAAACATCCGTACGTTGTTGATTCACGTGGTTTTTTTTCTGTTTCATTTGCGCTTGCAATGCAAGAGCGAGAGCGCGCGCGAGAGAGGAGACGTTTGGTTTAACCTCCGAAAAAAATTGCCTTAGTGCATCCACACGTAGCCAAAGAATGCCAAGCAAGTTCCAGGCGCGTCAAATACATTTAACACAAAAAAAAACCCCACGCTCGCCGTTCGGCCACTTCCCAAAACCATATGTCACTGTCGAATAATGGGACAGGCACCTCGTCGCGTGACCACAACTTGAACCCCGTTAATGGCACAATGGGATAGCGCCCACGTTGACAGACGTCCTCTCGGCTTGCCACGTGAAGGCGGCCAGGGGAGCCCAGGTGTGTTGCCGGTTACGGGACGAGGTGTGAATCGTCTCTTGATCAGGTTTAGTGCGTGCGTTCGTGTATATGGAATTGTGCGCCTCTCTGTCTGCTTGTGTGTGTGTGTGTGTGACCCGGCAGATGTGTCTGGCCCGTAACCTCCTGCCAGTCGCATCAAAGTGCACCTAGCCTGGCACAAGAGTTGTGGTGACATCACCGCCACTTAGTGGCGAATAGCTATTAACATAATTAATGATCGAATCAAAATATAACGCGTCACCGAATGTTGCTTTTCTCAAATTCGATTCCCAGCCAACTCGGCCTGAAACGAGTGTCTGGTGCGGTGTGTAAACAACAACAACAAGAGTGGGAAGACAAAGGCGGCCCTGCCGGGTGTGTTGCTGGTCAGACGACTACCCCCGTCCGTCATTCTGGCCCTTGATATCTGCTCGCCAACAGCACTCTCTGCCCCACGGCACTCGCATTGATGTCACCATGCTGTTACGCCTGTGCTTATTTGCGTGTTTATATTTGTTCGCTTGTATTTGAACGCATTCTTGTGATGGCTGGTGTTTGTTATTATGCATCATGTGTGTGTTTATGCGCCGGACTGAGTGTTTGCTTGCACGCGGGTGCCTGTGTGTGAAAGCGGGTGTTTGTGTGTGTTTGTGTGTGTGTGTGTGCATGTGTAAGCTTATGTGCATGCACCTTTGTATGCATGAGCCTGTGTGCGTTTATGCCATTGAGCACGTGTTGAAGGTTTGTGTCCGTGCGCACTCGCGCATGCGTTCTCATCCTTGCGCTCAGAGCTTGTGTGTGCACTAAGGCATGTGTTTCCTCTTTACTGGAATGCACACGAGCCTTTAGCCCAATTGGAATTGAGATGACTAAAATAAATGAAAGAAAAAGCTAAAAGGTTACACCTTGAGGAATGCCAGACTCAAAACAAATAATATTGCCCTGATGTCAAAACAAAATGCCCACTGCTAACAGCCCACGGCTACAACCCAACTTAAGCAGAAGGCAAAGGAGTTACTGAATGGTCTATGGACCGAATTAAGCTGAACATATCAGCGTCTATAAAACACATGATGGAACACACAAGCAATGTTGTACCCAGTGACACCGTGTCCACCGTGCCAGGAATGAACGTGACGAGTTGGTGAAGTATTTTAATGCAGGAGTCTCAAAAATGTAAAAGGTGCAGTGCTGCAATTGTTAGCTCGTTCCACTGTTGGCGAAAGCTTTGCAAACGTATTTATATTTTTTTTTTATAAATCACCATTTCGTTGGAACTCCTGCAAAAAAATGCCTATGCCACGAAGTGAAGCATCGTCTAGGACGAATTAAATTTTCGAACTCTGGTACAGCACTGGCATTGCCTGATGAATGAATGCAAACTGTAGCGAAATGAGCGAATGTTGTTACTTATGTAATCAAGCACTTTAGAAGCAAGGGATCGCGCATATTTTTGCATGAAGGCCACGTGTTTATTCAAGGTGGCCTTTCCCCGAATCCACCTGTGCAGTGCTTTGAGTTACCCCCCTCCTTCCTGATGGTGTTTTGTGGGGGACTTAAATTTCCTCCCGAGTCGGCCAAACATCCCAATGCAGCACCCCCATCAGGAAAAAAACACTCTTTCGACTTGGTTAAATTAGGGGTATTAGTATTGTTATTACATAATTGCCCTTACATAAGTGTTATTACGTGCATGCTTTTTCAATTTGGAGAAAGAAAAAGTCATTTTTCAAGTTAATTTCCAACTCGGTCCATTATCCCTTTTGTTGGCGAGTAAAAGCAGTACCACTTTGTAGGAGGGCGAGTGGTTGTCCTATGGAGAGATGGGTCTCACCCCCCCCCCCCCCCCGCGTCTAAGACCGAGTCATTAAAATCACAGGCGGCACTGCGGACGAAACGAGGAGCTCTGCTGTCTGGTGCTCGTTGGAGTACCGGGTCTGGTCCGTTGGCTCTTACCATATTTATTATTGCATCTACGAAATTCATGGAAATCCTTTCGCCCAAAGGGTGAGCCAAGATAAATGACGGTCTCACTTCGCGAATGAAAACCAGTCTGACTGCAGCAAGGCATCTGGGCGCATCGGCCTTAGAGACTTGTGCACATGGGGGGAGGGAGACATTTAAAGCATCGCCACTGTTCCTCCGCAAGCAGCGCTGAATTAATGGTGCGATGCCAACATTAATAATTAACTGTGTGGGTTTTTTTTATTCCTCTGCCCAAAATTGTAAACGCGTTGCTTGCACGTAGTATTTATGTACACAAGGATGCCGTTGTATATTCTTCTAGCCGACAGATCCTCACAAACCCCTTACAATGCCAAGCATATGCAGCAACATTATGCTAATCTGCACAGATCAGCAATCTATCGAGGAGTCACAGTTTTTTTTATATCTCCAAGAGCCATTCATTTTCCTGGGTTGACACGCAATAGCCACCCAGCTTGTGCGTCGCCTGCGTGGCACTACAGCTCCATACACGCACGGCATCTAATTTAAAAGGTTCCTAATTTATTTTGGGGGGGGGGGCAGTAGTTGGAGAATTAACCCAAAAATTTGATTTATAATCCCGGCCGGGGGGGGGAGGGGCAACATCAGTGGCGAGCAAAATCTGAAATTGTCTCGGATCTCTCCTCGTTCAACAACCCCGCACTGACCTGCACGGCGAAATATGGTCAAACACCCCTTCAACCAACACACAGCCGATCATCTCTGATCCGGCTTTCATCTTGCAGTGGATTGATCGGTGCTGTGCTTCACTTGTGCCAGTAATGCTGTACTCAACGTTCATATGAATTACACGCTAACCACAGTCTGCCTGAGTCACAGTGGGCAGGCAATGGCACAATTGCTCACACGGCTAAACTCAAGCTGCAACCACTCAGCACGCCTTCGTGTGTTTACAAAAAGTAATAAATCTACGAAACTGAGACACGCGCAGCCTGTTGGGCGCGCCCTATAGCAAATGCATGTTTATGCATAAACGCTCGTATATCCACGTTTTGTTGACATGTGGGAAAACAGCGTGTTGTTTAAGTTTCGCTAGCTGAATTAAGTATGCCAACAATTACATTGGGAGTCTCACTGTTGGGAGAACCGTAATATCGGGAGCGAAAATCAGCCATGGTCTGCAAAATTCTTGTATTTGCCACGTGAGCGCAGTGACCAATGTTAGTACAGAGGCCCAGCCCTTTGTGAATTCACTGCTGGATAAAATTATCCCATTTTGCCGCGGTTGGTCGCGGAGTTTATTTCGCTATAAATCGTCGAGCTGGCTGACCACCATCGTCGCAGCACGGCGCGCTCAACAGCAGCGGTGGATGACGGCCGCCCCTCAACGCCAACGCTTCGACGAATCACGTCCAAATAACCTCGACAACTCTCGTGGCGCCGGGAAACGTGGGGGGGGGGGGGGGCAGTTCGTCCACTAGTAGATTGACAAACATGCGTAAATTTCGATTCAAAGCTTTCGTGACTGCAGGGATTCAGTCGTCTTGGTTCTTTCAGTAAAGTCACGTAGAATTGAAATAATAAAATAATAAAAATATAACATAATAAAATAATTCTCACGACGTTTCGGCCACAACGCAAGCAGCCGTCCTCAGGTGGAGAACAGGTCTGCGAGGAGACAGAGTCTGAATGACAAGCCCCAGGCTTAAATAGTCGCTCCAAGCCTGGGGCTTGTCATTCAGACTCTGTCTCCTCGCAGACCTGTTCTCCACCTGAGGACGGCTGCTTGCGTTGTGGCCGAAACGTCGTGAGAATTATTTTATTATGTTATATTTTTATTATTTTATTATTTCCATTCTACGTGACTTTACCGAAAGAACCAAGAAGAAACATGCGTAAATTACAAACAAAGCCCCGATGAGGTCTTTACGTCATTTATCTGGTAAAACCTCACTTGTTGTGTTGTATGTGCTAGGAAACTAGAGTAGCTGAAGAGAACTCTGGGTTGTATAATAATTAAATGTCTGCAAAACATACTTATTTTCTGGCCATCTTACATAGCTACTTGATCCACCGACCCTCGCTTCTGAAGCGCCATCCATATTTAAAGCATTAGCAGTGTCACAATAAAGAAGATCGTTATCCTATTTGAGTTCACGTCTTATTCTCTAATTTCTGTGCAAAAATAAAGTTCGCACTGTTCTTACCGGCTGTTTTTATTTTTTGGCTGAGACCCATTGCAATGCAAGGTGCTTACGAAGCACAGGCGCATCATTAAGGAGCCAAGCGAAGCAAGAAAGAAACGAGTCCCATCTGTTTTTCTGCAGACGCAAAACGCAAGTTGATCATTATCCAGAGTTAACAGGAACAAGGGAAAGAGCGATCGAGAGAAATGGAAGGGGACTTGACGTTGGTTAGAATTTAATACTGTGGTGCGTAAAAAAATTACCCAACAATAGCCAAGCAAAGCTTGATTTTCCATAAAGGTTCAACTGCTATATTCAGCCTTTCTTCACGGGAAATTTGGCATGATGTCTGACGTTTCGTGCCACGAGCTTAGGGTTTCTTCAGGGACTGAATTGAAGACGAACTAAAGAAATTCAGTTCCTGGAGAAGCTCCCCAGAACGTGGATCGGAACAACCTCGGACACCGCGCCAAACAACAAACGGCACGGCTGGAAAACACCAAGGAGCTGTACGGCCCAAACGCGAACACCTACATAGTCGTATTTTCGCATATGAAAGGGCAATGATACAGAAAGTTGCTTCAAAAGTCACAACCATCTGCGGTAACACCGATTTAGTTTTTTACCAGACACAGATGTAGAAAACCGTGGTGATTTTATGTTTTGCGTGACCTTGATTTCACATCTTTTTTAAAATGTATTTATTTTGGCCCCGATATTGCGCATCAATGAACGTCGCGAGCATACCACTCCAGCTCTGTTGAACACATTGTATTGCGAGTGTGTTAAGGGATTTCTAATGCACGGAGTGATATTGCTGGTAAAAATGTGGAGGCTTTGAAATTTACATGTATGTATGCATGCAGAATTGTTTTTGCACCGTACGTAGCCAGCCGTGCTAATGAGAGGTGCGGGGGAAGGACAACAAACTAAACACAAAAGCCAGTTCTAAAGACAGTAGTTTTCAAAGAAGATGTAATTATATGTATATTTTAGTTGTTTTAGTGGGGTATATTTTCGATATTTTAGTGGGGCATATATTAATGCTTTACCCTATGGTGTATGTATAGTACATCTCATGCATCCCCTATGCAACTGTGCAAGACTCCGCAGTAAGCTGCACGTCTTACTTGTCTATAGGATAACAACAACAATATTTCCATTATAAAATAATAAGCTGCTTGTTGTTCCAATCAAGCTTTCTGAAAACACGGGGATGTTATTTCAATGCTAAAATGTTATTTTGCAGCAGAGGGACAGCCGAATGGCCAACTTTTTCTCCCCTCTTAGCATTTTTGATCTGAAACAGTTATTCCTGCACGCAAAAAAAGCACACAGTCCATTGACCAGGGTCCCTGTGTAAATCCAACAGCAGTGTTAAATTATGTATGACCATGTTCTGTGCGATGCGGACACGTGTGTTGTTCGCATATGTGCCCTGTTAACGCTGTTTTCACAATGGTCAATCTATCGTGAATTAGCAGCTTCAAATTCACCACAACCGTTTTTTTCTTTTTTGCAAACATGACAATTCGGATGCATTGTGAAGCATTAACGCCCACCAGAGCTCCCACATTCTGGCGAGGTCTGGTTGTATTTAATTGCTCTGCTTGTTTTACACAGGAAAGCTTCGCTGTGTCAGAAGACTGTTTTGAAGGAAGGGTTCCTGCATTAGGATGTTTTGGCCAATTCCTTTTAAGGAGTGTATTTTTTTCAAACGTGGCAGGAATCCACAGCATTCCAGATAACACGTGAAAATCTGCGCAGGCCGGCCAGCCTATTTGCTTTATCGCCACCTCTAAGCCCAGCGGATTTGGAGTGTAACAACACCGTGATGAGATCCCTGTATGAACCATCAACCCTGTCTCCAAAAAACAGTATTACGGGCACTATGTATGTATGTTGAACTTCTTTTGCACCGTACGTAGCCAACCGTGCTAATCGGGGATGTGGGGATAGAACAGCAAACAAAACACAAAAAGCATTTCGAAAGAAAGGAGTTTTAAATGGAGATGAAAAAAAATGTACGTATGTATGTTGAACGTGTTTCTCACCATACGTAGCCAACAGTGTTAATTGGAGGTGCGGATGACGGTGAAACCGCAAGACGCGTGAGTTTTTTGTGTCGGGGCCGGTGGGCACGTATGGCCGTGTAGTCCCTCTCCTTGTGCATCCTTGCCCATGAATAAGCACCACGTGCATAGCTTTTGCTAGACTCATATTGCACAAGGATATGGTAATAGGGAAGGTGCAGACCGGACATTGCATGCTTATGCCACTGCTGGCGGAAGGGCCTCCCACTCGAGAGAGCCGCTGGTAAGACAACGTGGAAGAAGTGGAGTATGCACGCTCTGTCTGCGCAGTAGGCAATGGGAGGGGGATGGAGGGGTTTAATAAGTTGTCCGATCTTTCAACTGCTACGCCAGGAGATGAAGATGAACCGGTAACCTCTGGATTGCAAGTCGGGTGTAGTAATCCAATACGGCACGGCAAAATCCCTTGCTTTGTTCTATGTAGAGGGGTTACACGTTCTTGGAAAGTGCCGCCAAAGCCAAAACTTTGATTATTCAATGCTTAAAAGCCTTACCTAAATAATGAGGTTATGTACATGGCAACCACAAACAGTAGTATAAATGCTTAAGAAATGCTGTACTTACCGATGATGATGATCCAAAGTGGGTGTGCGTGTGTCCACGAGCGGGGGGCGGCAGTGCTACGGTTAGCGCCCTGCGCTACCAAGTCGGTGGACTAACCCCCCCTCCTCCCCCGCGCAAGCTAAGTTTGTGTACCAGGAGGTTTCCCCACGACACGATGGGTCAGAACCGCGGCGGGGGGGGGGGGGGGTGTCCATCCGTACGTCGAGAGACAACAATAAATCGGACCCATACTCTTTGGTTCTTTCGGTAAAGTCACGTAGGTGAAAAAATAAAATAAAAAATAAGAATAAAAATAGAAATAATCTAATTAAATCACGACGTTTTGGAAGCAACAAAAGCTTCCGTTTTCTTTTTTTTGCCCACTACAGTATATATTTTTTTTGCTGTGGTTGTCCCACCTGATGACGGAAGCTTGTGTTGCTTCCGAAACGTCGTGATTTAATTTGATTATTTATAGTTTTATTTTAACTTTACCGAAAGAACTAAAGATTATGGATCCTTGCAGTCACGAAAGCTTCAAATCTAGAATGAAAAAATTCGGACGCTTGTTTTGCAAAACCGCGATGAAGAGCAACTCACAAACGCAGGTGCGGCCATCGCTGTGCACCTTGGTGCCCGGGTGGCACTCGCAGTGGTAGCTCCCCGGCGTGTTGACGCACACGTGCTGGCACCCGCCGTTGTGCTCCAGGCACTCGTCCACATCTGGAAGGCAAACGCAATCGATCGATCAATGGGTCACACTTATAACTGCAGCTCAATCAGAATCGGAAGACGCACACGTGCTGGCACCCGCCATTGTGCTCCAGGCACTCGTCCACGTCTGGAAGGCAAACGCAATCGATCGATCGATGGATCACGCTTATAACTGCAGCTCAATCAGAATCGGAAGACGCACACGTGCTGGCACCCGCCGATGTGCTCCAGGCACTCGTCCACGTCTGGAAGGCAAACGCAATCGATCAATGGGTCACACTTATAACTGCAGCTCAATCAGAATCGGAAGACGCACACGTGCTGGCACGCGCCGTTGTGCTCCAGGCACTCGTCCACGTCTGGAAGGCAAACGCAATCGATCAATGGGTCACACTTATAACTGCAGCTCAATCAGAATCGGAAGACGCACACGTGCTGGCACGCGCCGTTGTGCTCCAGGCACTCGTCCACGTCTGGAAGGCAAACGCAATCGATCGATCGATGGGTCACGCTTATAACTGCAGCTCAATCATAATCGGAAGACGCACGCCTGCCGGCACGCGCCGTTTGTGTCTCCAGGCGCTCGACGACAAACCCGGCAAGGCAAACGCGATCGATCGACGGTCACACTTTGAACTGCGATTGAATATTGGAATATGAGGCTCTCTTTTTCTTCACAACTTAGCCCTGCTTAGGCTTCCGAGAAATGACGAGATTGTGGGCGTATTCGGGGTGCGATTTGACTATTCAAAGGATGATCATGGTGGTGCATTGTATAGCAACAAAACACAATTATGATGCAACGCACCATTGATTAAAGATCGTGCATTGAGAAGTGCAATTACTTGCAGTCGGGCTTCAAAGAATGCTCATGACTTGCAAAATGGTCGAAAGTCAAGGGGTTAAATGGCTTTCCAGAATTAGATGCCACAAAAGCATTTAGAGCAGCGACGCTCACAATGACCCCCCGTCCCCTACCGCGATGAAACCGACTTGTGTGCCTCTGCGACGATCCATTGACTGCTGTCAGGACAGTGACACTCATTCATGTAATCGTGAAACTGAATCGGCCACAGATAAGCATCGGGGCAAGTACGTGGTGGGCTCTTGGCTGGGGGTGTTGGGAAAGCTTAAGCGGACCATGACTTCATCCATGCCAGAGCTCCTAATCTCTCCTCCGGGCAGACCGAGAGGACACGGGGGTGAAATGCCAAGCTACTGTCAATGGGCCATGAAGGAGAGAGACGAGTTCTGTGGAACGAGTGGTATCTGGCATCGACCTGCTTGCAACCACGAGCCTCACAATCGGCCCCTCGCTGAGGGTAAAGCCCCCTCTGTCAGTTGGATAAATCGTGGGTGTTTGGTTGAACACGTTGGATTCGGATCTACGTAAGCATTCCATGATGTAAATCACGACGTTTCGATCGCAACACAAGTGGTTGTCCTCTCTCGCTGGTTCAGCAGTTCCACTGCTGGATTCGATTTTTTTCCGCCAAAGGACGACCGCTTGTGTTGCGATCGAAACGTCGTGATTTATTCTAATTTATACCTACGTGACTTTACCGAAAGAACCAAAGAGTATAGATTCCTGCAGTCACGAAAGCTTCAAATCAAGATCATTCCATGATGGCGAAATTGTGCCTGTGAGTCTCGGCTGTACTTGTTTTTACTATGTTCATAATATCAGCTGCGGAACTTTCCTGCCGATTGTGTTTGTGTGTGTGTGTCTTTGTTGTGAGTTGTGACACGAAATACCAACAACGAGTGGAGCGCCGGGTGGCTAAAGCACAGCAAGTTGGCACAGTAGGGGGCACAGGTGGTGCATGAGCCAGTCATCTCGGTCATCTCAGTCAGTCGGCCCGTGGGACCTGGGTCTGCCCCGTGACCTCCTGCCAGCGGGCGTTCGACACTTCACGTGGCCTCAAGGTGCACATAGCCTGGCACAAGCATCGTGGTCACGTCACCGCCACTTAGTGGCGAATGGCGGTTGTTGTTGTCTTTGTTGCATGCTTTTGAACTGTCACCACTCCACGTGGCCTCAAAGTTACACCTCGGTTACAAAAGTGGCAACCGAGGTGACATCACAAGCCACTTGGGAGCAAAACGCAGCTGTTACAGTCGTTATCCACCTCTTTTGTCGAAACTGCTTAAACCGAGCGCCAACTTCAATAGACACGACATAATAACAGTAATGTTTTGCAGCCATAATTCAAGAAACTGCACTTGCTGGCCATTGAAGTGAATCTAAATCACAGCAGTGCTATTGGTGAAATGCCACTGTGATTCTGCTGCATTCGCGGAATGACAATGACGCACACCAAAGCTATTTCTTCGTGTTGCTATCCAGACAGCACGCTCCAAGCTGGGCTAAAAAAATAAAAAATATAAGCATCCTTCGTGATGACAGCAGTTTGTAACGCATGTTTATAATAGCATCAGCAATACGTCAGGTGCAAAGACTGACATGCCACGGCTACCATTACCCAGTGTGCGTGACCTGAGTGGATGTGAATGCCACGCTTTGTGTATATATGCACACACGCATGTACATAGTGCACTATGCACACATGCGACTTGATGATGGTAGCTTACACACCTTGGAGCCAGTGGCCTCTGCCGGTATGATGCAATGGAAGGACAGGAAGTGTTGAGATTTAAATAAATATGGGTGCATATAAATATATATATGGGTGAATGTGCCTATGACCAATCTCACTCAGAATGTGCCCGATCCCAGAAGGTCAACGGGATTGGGGCTGGATAGTGCTCGGACGAGTGACCAGAAAGTATATCATACAACTATTTTATTAATTTAAACTTATCCACGTGACTTTACCGAAAGAGCCAAAGAATATGAATTCCTGCAGTCATGAAAGCTTTAAACATCTGGAGGCTCACCAGTGTCGATTCAAGCCAGCCTGAGTCTGCTTATGAGACACTGGATGTTGAAATTGCTCCAGAGTTGTTTGGTGACACTTAATCAGTGCTTCATGTGGAGACACGTTTCCACCGTATGCATTGTCTGCTTCACTACTTTGATATTTATTTTCTTCACATTAACACGATTAGAAAGAGTTGCGTACAATGCATTGGACCGTGCGATATTCCACTTTGAATTTTACACTTGCGCATCTATGATCCTTGCGTTCTAGACGCAGTGTTTGGTGCTTCATTGGAAGCATGCTTCTGCTACTGTTTATGCAGCATCACATGTGCTGGCAGAGCCTTGTGGATACCTCGAGTCACGAGTGACTCCATGCTTCAAATGAGCGCTTGAAGGCAGCGCTCGTATTTATTGGCGGCTTTGTGCCAGGAGGGGACAACCCCAATGTTAGTTCCACTGGTTGAAGCAATAACTACCGTGTTGACATCCCACAGTAACGTTGCCAGTGCGATGGCCCACCACCTGTACAAGTTAGGGTATGGAGAGTACACATTTCAGACTGGTCTCATGCACGCGAGATTCACTTGTACGATGTGACGCTATTGTCTCAATGCACTTATTTTCCAAGATACATTAATTTGATGTACGAAACGTGTTCACGTGTGATCTTTGGCGATATTTTGTGAAAGTCGCAGAAGGCAACCCTGACCCTACAGTGGGTTGATGGACTTTATTAATCCACGAAATACCATACGGAGCAGACGCCCAATACAGTGGTTGTACTGAGCCCCACGTAACTTATTGACACACTTTAGAAAATATCTAGATGTTATTCTATTGCAAAGAAAAACTGCTGCAACTTCTTAAAAAAAAAACGAAAAGCACCATTGTAATGATGCTGGTGGCTTTAAGGCCTACGACCATATCACCCTCGTCCGATCCCGAAAGATAAGCAGGTTCGAGCCTGGTTAGTACTTGCATGGAAGGAATCAAATCGAGCAACACCCCACAAGTTGAATGACATTTCAGTGGCAGCTTCTAGAAATGGCACGATACGAATCCAGCATTGCTGCTTTCCTCATGATTGACTGGCCAGGTGTGATTGGGAGGTGGTCATCGGGACACAGCATGTAACAACAGCAAGCTATAATTTTGTTGTAAAACCAACCCTCGTAAACACTTGCGTAGAGTGAGCAGTGATCTAATTATAGCTATTGTACCCAACACACATACCTTACGTAGAAATGCTGTGTCAATAGATGTTGTTTGCCTCCTATACACAGGACTTAATTTCTCATGGCATATTTTCTGGATGCCCCCAAACTCAAACACTCCAAATTAAACCCCGTGAGCGGGGGAGGGGGGAGTTATTTTACAGTGCTCAGCCCCAGACATCTCTAGCTGAAATATAAGTATTGTTTATAAGTAATACATATATGCACCTCCACGAACGTGTCGCAGATGCCATCGCAGATTTCATTATCCTAAAAGTCCTGAGCCATGGGCAGTCCATTATGGTCTGGGAACGCTGTTGGTTCGTCCACGTTGGAAGCAGTGCAAGGCAATGAGCTCTTGTGCAGGAGCTCGAAGGATTGTTCCGTTGCAGGACCATGAAACATGGAGACAGTGGCTAAAGAAGACCTTCATCCAGCAGTGGATAGATAATGGCTGATAACAATGATGATGATGATGATAAAACATCTTGAGAATTGTATTTGCTAATGATTTCGGGCTCAACTAGTCAGACTTTTCAATGTTTAATTGATTCCATTTCACAATCATTTTTTTGGCCATAAAGCGTCCTTTAAATGCATAGCAGCTGTGCCCACAGTTGAGGTTTATTCATGCATATACACAACATTTTCAATACACTGTATATTTCACAGGCGTTTGCTGTCCTAAATAAAACGTTTTGCAATGTAACAAAAAATACTCCGAAGCATATTTTTTTTTGCTACGTCATTGAATGTTAAGTTAGTGAGGGGGCATTACAGGGTGTTGATAAATATGTTCCTTCAGGCAAACTTGGAATGAGATATTTCAGTTTAATTTGGTCTCGTACAAAAAAAAACATCAGGACGTTTCCACAGTGGTGTCATGGTTAGCACACTGGAATCAAGAGGTT